TAAAATCTGCCTGTTTTGGTGACCTTTCTGGGGAAAGATTTCGAATTTCCAGAGATTTCTAGGGCTGCAGGGGACACAGGATTTCTCGAGAGGTTGCCCCCTCGCTGCGGGCTCATTCGGCACACTGCTTCGTCGCTCTGTCTCTCTCGCGCTTCCACGAAACGCCCCATGAGTGCGAGAGAGACAGTGGCTCGGCCGTCGGCGCCACGTGCAGCCACGTCGGCCGCCTAGTGACTCTATCAGGCTAGGCGAGGTGGCTAGGCATCCGGCAGTGATGCGGCAGTGATGAGGCACCCTGGCACCCTGGCCGGCCGGCCACTAAATGGCCCACGCGTCGGATAAAAAACAAAAGCATGTCATATTAGCATACGCGCACGCGGTGACCCGAAACGGGGCCAGGCCGGCCAGGCGGGGAGGGGGCGCTGCTGCTGCCAGGGCCCGGGGGGCTGCCTGCCTGCCTGCCTGCCTGCCTGCCTGCCTGCCTGCCTGCCTGCCTGCCTGCCTGCCTGCCTGCCTGCAGCGGGGCAGACCGAGCTGGCAGCCAAGGCCGAGGAGATGCGCCCCAGCCGGCGGGGGCCCAACGGCGACCCTTTTGCTTCCTTTTTCACGTGCTCAACACAACGCCCATTTGTCGTCCCTTTTGTATACTGGGCTCGCCGGGCAGGCTTGCAGCCGTCGCGACAAAGTTTCGACAGCGCGACACCCACTGTGTGTGTGTGTGTGTGTGTGTGTGTGTGTGTGTGTGTGCGCGTGAGTGTGTGCGTGCGAGGGCGCCGGTTTTGCTCCTTTTTATGTGTGCGGGAGGGATGGACGATGGACGATGGACGCCCCGCACTGATGTCGCGCCACCGTTTTGCGCAACGACGCGCTGCTCCGCCGCTGCAGACCGAAAACCAAGGAGTCGATTTCGTCGCTCTGTCTCTCGAACCTAATCTAACGCCCCATGAGTGTGCGAGAGACAGAGTGACGAAAACGACTCTCGGAATGAGTCGGCTGGTCGGTCGCGCTGCTTCGCTGTCGACTAGTCCGGCCGGCCGGCCGGCCCAATGTGAAACCGATCCGGCGCCTACGTCTGCCTAGTGCTAGGCCTAGTGGGCTCGCTGTGAGATGCACAGGCCGGCCAGGTCGGCCAGGTCGGCCAGGTCGGCCAGGTCGGCCAGGTCGCGTCGGGGGCTCAGGGCCAGGCCCGCTGCGTCCAGTGGGTCCAGTGGGTCCAGTCTCAGCGGCCCACACCGCCTCTGTTATTGTCCGGGTTCGTAACTCCGCCGAAACTGCCGACTCGGGGTGACAGTTGTTAGTGATCAGCGCGCGGAGATTAGATTTTGAGAAGATATTCCCGGTGCGTGTCGTTTGTAACGCGCACCACCGTTTACGAGACGCGGAAGAATGGCGGAAAGGTTGCGCACCCACCAGCGTGCCCGCAAGGAAAGTCATTGTCAGTGAAGCGGATCAACTAGTAGGCAAGGCGGGAGCAAAGTCCAGATATTGCCTGGTGGTAGGCTGGTTCGGGAAGGCTGAGGTTGGCAACCATTCCAACACCAGTGCATCGAGGGCAATATTTGCCTGCTTTCGACACGATTGCATCGCACTGTAGGCCAGAAGACCAGTGGAGCGGCCAAAATTCGAGACGCGTTTTGAGCTCCAGAGTCGCCAAATGGGACACCAACCGACCGTGTGACCCCACCAGTGGATTCCTCGTTCGGAGAGCAATCCATTGGTGGGGTCACACGTTCGGTTCGAGTGCTAATTAGCGACTCTGGAGCTCAAAACGCGTCAAGAATTTTGGCCGCTCCACCGGTCTTCTGGCCCACTGTGCATCGTGGGGCAGTGAGGTGGCGACGGCAGGCTAAGCGCAAGGACGGCCGTGTCTCGTTTTGCAGTGCAGGCGGGCATGTGTCGGGCCCGAAATGGCATACGATCATGTGTGGTCTAGCCCTTAATGGTAATGGTAATGTGGACGCGAGGGTAGGCAACCCGGCGGCACACGTGCGGGGTGGCGGCCTGCCCTCCAGGCGCTAGTGCATTACCATTACCATTAAGGACCAGACCACACACATGATCGTATGCCATTTCGGGCACTCTGCGCGGGCCGCGCCACGGCGCCGCGGGCCAAGTCGGCTGGCAACCCGAGCGACGCGTCGAAAGGACGCGTTCGTCAGCAAGTCGCGAAGGTCCGGGCCGTTCGGGTCGGGCCGCCGGATGTGACCGGACCAGGACCGGGACCGGACCGCCACACTAGAGTCGGCGGCGCGCGGCGCGGTGACGCGGTCTAGGCCGGGGGGACGTTGCCGGAGCCGTGCTGGCCACGCCGGAGCCACGCGACCTTGGCTGCCTTGACTGTCTTGGCGAACTGAAGCGACTTTTTCCATATTTCACGTTTCACGTCTCGCGGGGCACTTAAAGACCGCGGTTTACGGTGGCGACGAGGTACTCGCTGTGGGGCTCTACATGTCCAGAGCGCTTCCTAGTGAATGTAAACAAGGCAACTAGTTTATAGCGGTGCCCGTGCGGCAACGCCACTGGAAGTGTTCTCGTTCGCGATGAATGATGATTGCGCGCGAAAGCGGTGCAATGTTGTCACATAAAAAGGCAAAAATTGCTCACGATTGAGAGGGTTGAAAGGGTTGCTAACCCGAGCCTGCCTATGCCACTTCTCGCGAGCGGAGCTCATTTTGCAGGCTGAGGTTGGCTAGCCTTTCAACACTGGCATCGTGGGCATGGCAACACTGAAGCGGCGTTCTGTCCCACCAATATCATCATCATCGGCGCTTAGGCCAGCAGACCTGTAGCGTTCGAGTAAGCGACTACAACAGGACTGCAGACTGGTTCAGAGGGACGTTTCGTCGCTCTGTCCCTCTCGCACTCATGGGGCGTTCCTACCGGTGCGAGTGAGACAGCGATGAAAACGACTCCTGGAATCAGTCTGCTGGGCTGCACGATATTCCACGGGCCGGCCAACACCTGTTCATTTTGGTTGACCCTGTCGGCCACCGCCACCGTCGGCTCACAGGACAAAGCCTCTGATCTCCGCAGAATTGAAGTAGCGTTTTATTGGGACCGCTTTTCGGAGCTCATAGATGATGTGACATTTGGTTCCAAGGTCGGAATAGTCATCTTATCCATCCTCACAGCTTGAGCGCGAAGTGGAGTGGGCAGGGGAAAAAACCGGCAAGGCGCTGTTCGCGAGTCCGAGCCGCGGCGCCGCGGCCAACAGGACGGGTTGTCGTTGTCTTCGGTGCATTTCTTTTGGGCGGATGCGATTTACTTTGTTTCACATTACAGTGACTTGGTTTCTCGAGTTACACCAGTCTAGTCCTCCGCCCACGCACTAGTTAAATTAAAATTATAGGCGATTTGGCTAAATTTATGGCTTTATTAAGAAGCCGCCTCGCCTTATTGGCTGCTCAAATCCGTTACCCATCCCGAGGTGACGTCAACAAATTTGTTGGCGTCACTCTGAAACAACTCGGGGGGGGGGGGGGGGGTAATGCCCCCCCCCCCCGGGCCCTTAGATAGCCGCCTGAAAGGTAGGCAAAAGTGTTACTCCCCCCCCCCCAAATAGGCGGCCTCTGAATCCGCGACTGAGGCGGACAACGCGCCCTCGACGCGCGCCCTCCCTTTCCCCCAAAGCTTGGAGTGGTAAGAGCTAGGATTCCCACCTGGAGATTATTAGAAACGCGATGTCGCGTTCGTTTCCAGGCCTTCGCGCCGTCTTCACCAAGGCAAAGGCGCCTCTTTGAAATAAAACCGATGTGACGTGAACCTGTTCTCTAGGAATCTGAATCCGCGTCCACCGCAGCGGCGCAGCGAAGCAAGCGAAGGAGGTTGACATTTTGCGGCGCCAGATCGGGTGGCTCGTCCAAAATTATGTAAAACGCTCATGACGATTGACACTCTGTTCCCGGGAGTCTTGCCTTGGGGGCCGGGAGGGCCGGGCTCAGGTGAGGCCCGTCACCAACGCCGTGCTACGCCGTGCGGCTGCGGCTCGGCAACTTCTTCGACGCCTTACGACTAGATGCGCAACGTGACCAAGATCGACGGGAATGCCGAAATACTCGGACCCACGTGTTTTAAATGTTCCCGCCAGTCTCACATGATTAGTCGACGTTCATTGTCAAAACGTATATATTTGAGATTTTTCCTCTTAATCGGAAAGCTTCAAAGAATTCATAGGGAAAATTTCAACAATTTTTCATGACAATGCTCTTAACGCCTGTACTACTTTAAGAAAGATAAATTCACTGACCCACTAGATTCCTCTGGAAGGGAACCAGGGGAACTCTCACTAACGGTGCGATTTCGTTTCGAACGACGTTGCGGTGATTTGCGCCTTGTGTGAGGGTTGGACAAGATTAGTCCTCGGGTCCTTAGGTTGCTCGTTGTGCAAGATCGGTTATTGTTCGTATTCAGGAGAAATCCGTGGAGAAGTGAGTCTGAATAAACAAGGTATTGTGGTAGTGACAAAGAGTAACATTAGGCTCAAGAGGAAGGTAGCTTCTTTTTGTTTAAAACTTTGTTTAATATTTTTCTATAAAGTACAGTATAAACAGCCAAAATAATAAAGTTGTACAGTGTAGGCTGAGGTTGGGATGTGCACTCAAACATTAGGTAATGGTGAAAATCTGGTGAATTTTCCATTAACATTTGAAGTCACATTTAACTAACTAAATGAAACCAGCACAGAAATCTTCACTTCTTACAGCTGATAACACAGTTTGTACCAAAATAGACAATTATACAGCTACAAACATGTATGTACAGGTATCACAAAAAGGATATTTTAAAACACATCCTGCAAGTTTTTGTGTTTTCAAAATATAAAAAGAACAGAAGTAAAAAAGTTCAACTGTTCTTCATTATGTTTTCCATTGTCAAAGAATAGTACAACAATAATTTGGTATAAAAATGCTTGATAAAAGAGATGACTTAGAACATCAGCCATTCTGAAAGGCAGAATACCTTAAGTGTTTGACACATGGAAAAGAGAGAGGAAACAGAAGAACATTTCTGGATTCATTCCACACCATTTGACGGACATAACATGTAGTGCATCTGCATAGTCTAATAAAATGAGACAGAATATGCTTAGGCAGTCTTCCAAAACTTGCATGTAGACAAAGCAAAATCAAAAGAGACAGGCTAAATGGAGTGACATTTTCCTCAAAGTAAAAGACTGCAAACTTTCAAAACAGAACTTTTAGAGGGAATTAAAATTCTTCTTTAATTCTTTGGTCCAAGAAGCTGCACGTAGTCTTTATGGGAAATACACAGGAAACAGAATGAAGAAAACAATCAGAGTAAATTCAAATTAACAAAATGAAATCAACCCTGGAACATGAGTATTTATTGCTTTTAAAATCTAAAACCCTCTTAAATTAAGTCAGAAATTTGAAATGGAAGATTGACAGAGAATGAAGAGTGGCAGATTCAGAAATTCTTTCACAATTAGTTGGTTTCAGAATCATCTGAATAAGCAATAGGCTTGATTTTCTTTCGGATATTTTTAGAATCAGAAGATCTTGATCGTTCTCTGCGCTTTCTATCACTGTGAGAGCTCTTCTTCCTCCTATTATGTGAGTGGTGACTGGATTGATGGTGTTCACGCCTATCACTATTGTTTCTATGACTATCAGAGCTAGAATTGCCACCAGCGACAATCCAGGAAGCATGTCCTTGATCAGTCCTTGTGCGAGTCATCACAAGATTACATCCTTTAGAACCAGAAGCATGTGAGGATGTATCATCTTCTCCTGAAGAGTACCGGTTACTAAATCCGTTTTGAACGATTGCTGATCGAATGACACTTTTGGGAGAAGAGTGATCACTTTCTGAAAAATCCGAGCTCCTAGGCCGAAAAGTACTGGGCTTTGAGCACTGAGCACGTTTAGGAGAGAATAAAACATTGTCTCTTTTGTCCCGGGTCTTAGACCTTCCTTTAGAAGTAGATGGCTGGCTATCCTCTTCCTCATCACTGCTCTGGACTGTACTTTTTCTTTTCCTTGATTTTGAGTGCTTCTGACCTTTGCTTTTGTCTTCTCGTTTACTCTTCCTGTGCTTGGAACGTCGTGTTTTCTTTCTTACTCTTTCTTTCTCTTCTTCTGAACATGATGTGGAAGAAGATTGAGATGAGCTCCGACGCTTTGTAAAGCAACTTTTCTTGACCTAGAATTTTTAAATAATTTAGTTGTTTGTTTAATACGGTGGGAATGCTCAAAATATGAGGCAATACAAATAACACTTACAGATTTCTTTATCCTATTGGCATAAGTGTAAGTATTATCTGAGGTAGAAGTATCATCAGATGATATATCCTACATATTTGAAACAAAATAAAAACAAAGAAAGCAGAAAGTTAAGTCTTGTTTGGAAAGATAACATTAAAGTTGGCAAGGGGGAAAAAAATCACAGGGTAGTAGCTTACATTTAAATTTCCATCATGCCACTTGTGTGCAGCAGCAGTGTTATTCCCAAGGCGTATGCAAATTGGGCTGTCAGTTAAGTTGACATAAGAACCTGAGGCATGTGCCGCAGAAGTTGATGGTGGCGTGGAATGGCCAGGGTGCTCAGGGGAGGAGAGGGTTATTACTTCAGGCGTTCTTTCATGACGGGGCTTTACGTAGCCAACAATCTGAATGTCTTCTGCAACATCACTTTCACTGTCTGAAGATACATTTACCTTCAGGAAGAAAAAAAAGTTACTTTCGTTGGTTTCATTGCGGCGAAAATTAAGTCAAACAACGTAAAATAATGAGAACATAACAACTTACCACAGACGTATGAGCAATGGATGAGGAAATTCTTTGAGGAAAATGAGAGTGTGTAGATGTTTCAGAATGACTGGCTGTCGAGGTAGATGCAGATGCAGAGCTAGATGCACCTCTTCTGGCAGTTGCAGTTGGCTCATTTTCTATGATCTGAAAGAAGAAAGGTCAGTCAAACCACAGAAAACAGCAAAGAAACTTTTCCAGAACAGCATCAATAGGGACTCACTAAAACATCATCATCATCATCTGGACCGGAGACACCAGCATCAGATGACTCAATATCATCTATTTCTATGGAATAGCCAGCACCACCATTGGGATGATATTGGACTGCTCGGTCATAACCAACCTGTTACCAGAGATAATTTGGAAATCAAGGCAAAAGCACTCCATGGTGTCAAGTATGTGAAAAAAAATTCCCAAGCGTAAAGCCTGAATGAGGAATGTAACACACACCAAGTCATAAGTAGAGCTTGCAAATGCTCTTAGTTCATGGCAGAAATGAGGTGCATGCTGGTGTCCTATCAGTCGGGCAACTTGACTCCTAAAGGTGGCCGACTGTATGCTGTGCATTGGCAGTAGCTCCAAAATTTTCCCCATTACATAAGCAGTTTGACCACCACTTTCTAAGAGAACGTTCAACTCTCTATTTAAAAAAGGAATCAAACGATGCAACTGAGCTGGGTTTTGGCTAAATTGAAAAATTTTCAAAATTAAAACAAATTGGTTATTTAGATAAGTACAACCATATAAAATTAACACTCAGGCTTACGTATAGAACTCAGGAGAACAATCCCTATATCGGCCAGTAATATCTGGTTGCAGTCTGGCCCACAAGTCTCTCTGATAAATAGATCTTCGGAAAGCTGAGGTTCCATTGGGATTTGCCCTTCGAGTCGCATAAGTGGGAGGACCGTGTGGAATTACGCCAAAAGTAAATGCAGGGCGATAGTTTCCATGAGCACCTGGAAGGTACCTTCCTACTAATGCCATGATATCAGTAGCTGAAGGCATGTATGTACTAACAGCATCAAGAAGAAAAAAATGAGGAGATTTAAAAACATGAAAAAACAGACAACCAATAAAATATATGCAATAAATAAGCAAAAACATACGTATACAAATGGGGATGAGGTGGTGGTCTTTGAGGTTCTCTAATAACAGTATCAACATCATAATCATCTTGACTTCTTACATTATGAATAATGGAAGCAAATGCGACTTTGCAAAGAGGGCACTCTGCTTTGACCTAGACAAAAAAGAAACAAGATAAATAAGATCATATGAACATTCATAACATTCAAATGAATTGGATGGCCTACACCTAGAGCTCACCTTAGACCATTCACGAAGGCATACATAGCAAAACTGATGACAGCAACTGTTGGTGAATGATTTATCTGTCAGAGGCCCTAAACAAATTGCACAGTTCTCTGGTGAGGCGGGACGGCCAGGTGATGGTGAGCGGGATTGTTCCTTGATATCGGTAGAGTCGTTCCATCTTGAGGGGCTGGATTTGGAACTGCCAGCTCGCGGAGGCGTATCGGGGCATTTACATAGTGGAGGAGTGGCGGGGCAAGTTGGTTCCTCCATCTGCAACGACAAACACGAAACATAGTTACTGTCACTGTCATCACCAGACTACTTTCAGCCAAGCACATCCCATCATTAATATATAGGGACAAGCACATTTAAAACAATGGGAAAAAAGAAACTTAATTTATTCATTCAAAATGTATTAAGGGATCCCTAGGTGGTGCAATACATGCGGGGCACCAGTAAATAAAATGCGAAATAGTGGAGGAAAATTGAAAGAGTTAGGCTAAGGAGGACACGAAGCCTGTAACGGGTGTTAGATAACAAGAAGATGCATGGAGGATAAAAGAACTTGTACTAAAACCGTACCATTACAGGACATGGAAACGCATGAAATCTGAATAAATTTCAATTTGGATTTCAGATAAAGACTGACAATTTCTTAAAAAATACAACACAAAAACAGCAGAGATTGGCGATGACCGACGCCTTCTCAGAACTTCGTTGACGATTTCTTATGGGAGATCTAGGAAGCGGTGCCGGTGTCGGTGTCGGAGAAACTGCGGATCCAACAGGCCGAGAGTGTAATTTGGGCATTTGGGGGCCGAACGATGTGACTTGCGTCTGCCGCAAATCCAGTTTGGCATTTGCTTGATTCGTACAGCCAAGTATTGGATACGCCTTTATGCTGTGAACTTGGGATACAGTGTCGATCTGACTGATTATCTGTCGTAAAGCAGTACGATGACGGAATATAAACTTGTTGTTGTTGGAGGTGAGTAAACTTGACACGCCCCTGAACATGTATGTTTTAGAACAATGGAAACTTTCTACGGCGTTAAAAGTTTCCTAAACTACCTCAACGCGCATGCGAGTGATGGAGAGTGATTTTTACCACGAATTTTCATCGCCTCTTCGGCTCTAAACCCACCCTCAACTACCGTTGTCTTGGCTTCATCTCTAGCATCAAAATGTGCAATGTTGCACGGTTGTATCGACCAAAGAAAAAGAAAGATAATTGAATCGGCGGATCCCTCTTTGATGCAATTCCTGGTTGCATATATTTTCGTGAAGAATTAATTCGATCGTCTACTTGCTATCGTGTTTCATAGACTAACTTAGGTGCTCAGGATTTCAACCCCTTGATCACCTGTTGCTAACCTTAGAATGTCACCTGTTGAGGGCTGAATGGAATGTATCCAGTTTCCAGTTTGTTTCTCTTCCCAATATGTTTTTGTGACGTTTAGTATTAAAACTCAGTAATTATTTGAACAGTTGGTTCTATTTTGTTCAGTGTGATCCTGGCCATTGAACTGATTCCTCCGTTCAACTCCTGTCTAAACGCAATTTTTTTTTAAATTTGTTTTTATATGCCTGATTTCAAATTTCCATTTTTCTTGTCTGTACAGCTGGAGGTGTTGGTAAAAGTGCCCTTACCATTCAGCTTATTCAGAACCAGTGAGTACTGTTCCACTAGTCTTGTTAACTTAGTAGTCAGTGATGCAATCAATTTAAATTTGCATCGAATGCTATGCTTGAAATCTTGAAGATGTAGATGTGGCTGAGCTGATCTTTAATTGTATTTTTTTTTTCTTTTTTCCAGCTTTGTTGATGAATATGACCCAACTATAGGTAATGGAATATAGTCTTTGTAAATTATTTCTAATAAAATTTGTAGTGTGATTACTTAATAGCAACTTCATTGGTTTTTGTGCTACAGAGGACTCTTATCGCAAGCAAGTTGTGATCGATGGAGAAACATGCCTCTTGGATATATTAGACACTGCAGGACAGGAAGAGTACAGGTAAGTTTTGGCTTGAATTTTTTGTCAAAGTATTCATATTTTGCCAAGTCTAATGCTTTTCATCTTATCATATTTTAGTGCTATGAGGGATCAATACATGCGCACTGGTGAAGGATTCTTATTGGTATTTGCTGTTAACAATGCCAAATCCTTTGAAGACATCAGCATGTACCGTGAGCAAATTAAAAGAGTCAAGGATGCAGAGGAGGTGCCTATGGTTTGTAAGTATCCATCAACAATCATTTATCTGTTGTTTCTGAAATCAAAATGTGAATTTAGAAAACAATTTATATTGTATATTTTTTCTAGTGGTTGGAAACAAATGTGATTTGCCTGCAAGAGCAGTAGAAATGAACCAAGCTCAAGAAGTAGCTAAACAATACGGCATACCATTTGTTGATACATCGGCTAAAACAAGGCAGGGTGTGGATGACGCCTTCTACACTTTGGTCAGAGAAATCAGGAAAGATGTAAGTTTTGTAGATCTCTGCCTTACTCTTATGACACAGGGCTTAAAGATAATTTCTCATACCTTCTTCATTTTTCTTTTAATTACAGAAAGAGCATCGTGGGAAACCCAAACAAAAGAAAAGTTTAATAAGCATCAATCTGAACAGGAGGAAACACTGTACTTTGTTGTGAATTTTCCGCTTTTATTTTGTCACTGCCATCTCTTATCTAGCAGCTCTTTTTCAGATACGTGTGTGGCAAAATATTTGGTACTTTCAACTTCTCTTGTTCCCCCTTCCCTCTTTAGCCAAGTTAAGTTTTTTTTGTGGAATCGTTACCTGGAAGATATAAATTTTACTGAATTTTGATGTGCAAAGGAGCGAAAGAGCCCATTGAAAAGTAGCACCTGCTCTGTTTGAATGCTTTTTTTTACTTGGAGGTATACTTACTTAGGTGCCCTTGATTTTTTTCTTCTTCATTAGGATAATAATGTTTCAGTGGATGGGATGGAAATGGCTGCATTATATTGACCCCCTCCCCCCTCCCCTCTCTTTGTAGTGCTCATTAAGGGCTTTTAAAGCTATCTTGAAAGGCGTCATCTCAATCTGCTGGAATGTTTGTTATTATTCCTGATCACTCATTTTGACCAGTGGGGCAAGTTGTAAACTGTGGTTTGCGGACATGGTGTGTAGATTATGTGCATTTCTGGTCTGCTTGATGCGGCTTGATGAGTTGACTGAATTCTCCAGCAAGGTGGTGATTGTTATTCCATTAAGTAAATGATTCAGATTTGACATGTTTGTGTGGAATGCAAGTTGCCACTGTTTTTAGCATTTTTAATTCAAGTGGAATTTTCCTGCCATGTGACTTGACTTTACTTTTTGTTTTGTGGGTATAGTCTGCATTATTAGGTAATAGTGAGAAAAGTTGGCATACATTGCCAAATTACCATGTGTTACTGTTTGGAGTATTATATTTTTACTAATTATATATTCCTTTTAAGTGGACTGAAAATCTGTAGAAAACTGTAATCCCCACATGTATCTCTGACTGACTAGTTGAAGCATAGGGAAAGCTTCTAGAAGTAGGCTCACATCCTTTGCCACAACCTTTCAACTTTAAGAGGTACTTGCTCAGAAAAATCTCTTTGAGTTATCTTACAATATTCAAATACTGATAGTTATCGATTGGAGGGTATTCCTCATGTTCTTTCTAGTCAGCTATTGATGCTGATCTCAGCATCACTTTAATGAAGCTTCAAATCATTTTCTTTCAAAATGTGGATTTCACGTTGTTTTAGTAGACTCTTACATATTTGTAAATTTTCTAACAGCAATGTTTCTTTGTTTAGCCACCTTCCTTTGTTTATCTGCAGTGACCACTTCTCTATGTCAACTTTCAGAGGCCAACTAGTTAACAAGGATTCAGGTTGTGAATCATATTGAAACCTTCCATTTTCATTCTGAATGGTCTTGGTAAATTTTATCGAGTATATTTACAATCTTGTATCTTCACTTGGTTTGTGAGGAATATCCTTCAATTATTACTTTTCATGACAGACATTTTGTCTCACTGTTGTAATTTTTTTTTGTGGTAGAAAAAATCTTTTTGTATTGCTGTCAGGGTCAGGGTAATATCTCTTGTTCTTAGTATGTGCCGTGTTTTTAACTATTCATCCTTGAAAATTTTTATTTTTGAAGAAAATTTATTCTTTTTAATAAACATTTGCATGTGTTCAACCAATAATGCTACTTGTTCATTTCCCTCCAGTCAGATTGTATTAAAAGACAATATATAATGGGTGCTTTGTGATTCCAGCTTAACTACTTACTGTATTTTAATATAAAACTGTTTGTTTGCATTTCTCATTGTGATACGGTTACACCCGGCCCTATCATATTGTGGATTAAATGTACACCTTTTGACTCAGTGTATATGATTTTCCTCCAATTTATTTCTTTTTATGTTTGTGCCTCTGCTCCATTGTTTAAATGTGAGGCAAAATATTTTATGAATTAACTTGTCTTTGATATGACTTTGTTGACTGCCCTGAGATTTGCTGAGTAAATTCTTGTGCATCTATTTTCTTTCAATATTTTTGTTTCTTTTTCTTTCTTTTTTAAATTTAGTATTATAAGGATGAAGTGTTGTGATCAGTTCATTTGTTGTGCTAGCAATAATCATCTGTGTGTTAGTGAGTGTATGTATGTATGCATGTGTCTGGCTGTTCATTTGTGTGAATGTTCATTTTTTCCTTATGAAAACCAGAAGCTGTGTGTTCGTCGAAGCTTTATCCTCCAAGGTGTTATATTTCTTGCAACATAAGTTTTTGTGTTTTTATTTCTAAAGTTCTTCAACTACGAAAGGAAACATTGATGAAACATACTCTTCTTTTGCTTTGTTCTTTTTGCCTACAACGATATGTTGTTTGTGACATACCTCAATGAGAGTAATTTGAGGCTGTTCACAAACTCCTTCAGGTCTGTTTTCACAATATGACGTGTCCAATCATCACTACAATAGTATACTTTTAAAAAAAAATTTCGGTAGTTGGCTGGCAATAGTATTGGTGTTTCAAAATTTTCATAAATTCTGCAGAGTATGTTTCGGACCTTTTTTAAAAATCTTATATTGCTATTCTGTAAATGTTGGTTTTGTTTTGATTTGAAAGCAGAAATTTGTTCCTTGAGTGGTGAGCATTCGAGAATGAGGTGTGACCTTTTCTGTATAAAATATCCTTTCTTATAAATGAGTCTGAACAATTATCGTTTTGATTTTCCTCTCTGACCTGACCTCGCACACTGCTTACTTTGACTTCCCCGGGCCGATACCGGTTAGGGGTGGGTCCCGGTAGTGACAGGACAGCCGCTGCACGCGGTGCGTACATGTGAGGGGTAGGCCTCTAGTGATGCCGAACAAAACAAAGCCTTTGTTGTTGTTTTGTGAACGTTGTCGTTGACATCACTCTGGAAAAAACTGAAAACACACATCACCATTCAACTCGGGATTCAAGTTGGGTTGCAATTCGAGCAGCCCCATCATAATACAATTGTCTTCCCCCTCCTTCGCCGCCCCTCCCCCTCCCTCCCCCTCTTCCTTCTCATCCTCCTCTTTGCTGTCTTCAACTTGATGCTACTTGTTTTTGCCAACATATTTAACAAAATATGAGTGCTTAGGGACTCACTTGTTGATTTAGTATTCATTATTTTAGACTTTCGTGGAGTGGAATGCCTTTTGTGCCGAACATCGCACGCCCCCTCCCACCCCCTCCCATTAGGGTCCCCCTCCCATCCGGCACAGTGGCAGCTTGTCAATTCTGAATGGTCTGTATCGCTGCGGAAACTGGAAACAGTAAGAAAGGGTGGAAAAGGATGTACTGGGTTCACAGTTTTGGAGACCACCTTGCGAAGTCCCAGCCTTAGGCCAAGCCGCCAAGCGGCGGAAAGGAGATTTTAGGTGGGAAGGGAGTGGGAGGAAAGTGGGTGGAGGTGTATTAATGCTTCTGCGCATGCGCTTCCGCGTCGCTCTCACCAGATTCATAGCCAACTGTCCCACTAACCCCCTAAGATGCAGCCCTGCCATTTTTTATACTGTGGACTTATCGACAAGCTTTTCACTGACCGCACTTTATTTAGATTCCGCAATTTAATTTTCCAACGTGCATTGAAACACATCTTAGCACTTTTGGCCATGTTTTCCGCGCACCGTCTCCCGCGCCGACGGTGGAGCCCGCGCGAGCCCGCGCAAGATGGCTGTGGCCCCGCGGAGACGTTCGCGTTGCCGAGGTTGGTATTGGAAGGAAAAAGTGCTCCGAAATGGCGTCGGATACAGATAGGCAAGTGAATTCGTCCCCAGCAAAACGGCTAAAACTCGACCATACGGATCTTTTATCGGATTCAAGCGTTGAAATAAGCATCGGGAGTGTCCCTGCATCTGTTAAGCCCAGCCAAGATGGGTTTGATCCAGGGATGGGCCCGCACCAAGGTATTTTAGCTGGCGGGGACCCTCGGTTCAGGCCTAGGTCTAGTCTTTCGCCTGGTAGGCCTAGCGGGCCCGATGAGCCACAGCCTTCAACATTTGACATCGGCATCGGGATTGTGTCTGCTGGGGTCGCCGACGAAGATGTCCAACAGGAGGTTGAGGACCAGGACCGAGATGCTGACGACGATCGGGACGAAGTTTCTTCTACTGTGAGCAGCCTTTCCATTAGTGGATTGTCAGATATGAGTGGGCAAGGTTGGAAACCCGTGGTGGGCCCTATGACTTGGGTGCAGCGGCAAATCCAGACGGGTGTCAAGCCCAGGGAAATCCTCAACCACCTAGGAGCAGACCCTACTGACATTCCCGTCGACATGGATGACATGACGCTTTGGAAGATAATTGTCAACATGATGAGTGTGCCTCCAAGAAGATCTAAACTCCGGAATATCAACACATTGCAAGATGTTGTTGGGCTGATAAAAAGTTGCAGTCGTATCATTGTCCTCACTGGCGCAGGCGTTTCTGTTTCCTGCGGTATTCCAGATTTTAGAAGTCGAGATGGAATTTATTCAAGATTAGCTGTTGATTTTCCTGATTTACCAGATCCACAGGCTATGTTTGATATAAATTATTTCAGTCAAGATCCACGTCCATTCTTCAAATTTGCTCGAGAGATATATCCAGGCCAGTTTAAACCATCAGCATGTCACAGGTTTATCAAGAAAATTGAAGAGCACGGAAAATTACTGCGAAACTATTCTCAAAACATTGATACTTTGGAGCATGTCGCAGGTATCAAAAATGTAATTGAGTGTCATGGGTCCTTTTCAAATGCATCTTGTACTAGATGTAAGCACAAAGTCACTGCAGAAGAGATTCGGGAAAATATTATGCAACAGAAGATACCTTATTGTCCAAAATGTTTCCACTCGGGGCTCTCAGAATCCTGCTCCTCAGGGAGCAACACAGATTACAGTTCCTTATTCAACAAAGGAATAATGAAACCAGACATTGTTTTCTTTGGAGAGGGCTTACCAGAAGCTTTCCATGATGCAATGGCTGCTGACAAAGATGTCTGTGACCTGTTGATTGTCATCGGCTCCTCACTGAAGGTACGGCCGGTTGCACTGATTCCAAACTCCATCCCTGCCCATGTTCCTCAGATTTTAATCAATCGAGAGCCATTGCCGCACTTACGGTTTGATGTGGAATTGTTGGGAGATGGTGATGTAATTGTAAATCAGCTGTGCCACCTCTTAGAAGATGGGTGGTCAGAGCTGTGTAGTCAACCAGTACTGTCAGAAGCCGGAAATCTTCTTCCTTCATCGGTTGATAGGGCCAGTGAGAGGGACCTAGTCCATTCTCTGAAAAGTCAAGATGCCAACAAGTCTGTCAAAGCCTTAGAGACGGACATTGGAGTCAGTTTATCCTCAGCTGAAGATGTCAACAGAGTCTTAAAAGAAGTTATCCCTGAAGCTGGTGTCATTCCTGTTGTGGAACTATCAAATGAAGAAGTTTTAAGTGCACTGGAAGATCATGCTATGGCCACTGAGAAGAACGAGTTTGAAGGTGAGGTAAAGCTGAGACACATGTCAGTTGACTCAACACCAGATATTGACATTGAAGCTGGATCATCGTGTGATATTAAAGAAGCTGATGCAGAATTGGAGTCAAGAATTGCTGCTTGTGTTGCCAATAGTGGCATGTCTGTCTCTGGTGTCCCTGGGTCAGCCAAAGAAAGACACTTGTCACTTGATTCCACAAGAGACTCTGGAATCGGAGATAGCTGCAACAGTGTTGATAGTAGTGTAGACAAGGAGAGGGACACAAATACTGAGTCGACAAGTGATTTAACAAGTAATTCATGGAACAAAGCAAAAGAAAGCATTGCATCGCGTCTTCCTGTTAATTGCTTCCATTTTGTGGCTCCAAGTAGGTACATATTTCCTGGAGCTGAGGTGTTTGTGGAAAGGTCCAACTACAGTGACACTGATAGTGAGTCTGGTAGTGATTCTCATGATTCCACCGATGAGAGTTTTGAAGAGCAAGAAACTGAAAATGATTGTGAAAAGGCTGAACCAATGACTCAGCAGACTGAATGCAATGCTCCCTCCTCTGTCAAGTCTTGTGACTCAGTGCATTAACTTGTTATTCTTCTTTGTTTGGAAAATTGTTGTTATTCTTGTGTGTACAGCGCTTTGTGCGACTCATGTTTCGTGCAGTTACTTGTTAATTAACTATAATTTGTACATATATAGCTGTCTATTTTATTTAATCAAAAGCCAGTAACATTTTTCCTATTGATCTTCTGAAGTTTTTGGAATATTGTTTCTTCCTCATGAACTTCCCCTTTTTTTGCATATTTATTGACTTGTTAAATTCATTATCAACTTTTCTTTTCCACAATTTCAAAAAATTAAATTTTATTTGTTCAATTGTTTCATAATTTTGTATTGGATTTGTATTTGTGTTGGCCTTCAAAGATTGCTGTCTGCGTGTTTGATTTTGTATTATTTTGAAGTGGCATTGCAATGTAGTAGCATTTATCAGTGGAAATACGCCTGTCATAGTGTTCCCAAGTAGCTTGATTTTGTTACTCTTTGGTGTTCATTGTTTCTGCCATTGTCTGAAACAAGTACAAAAATTCAATGCTTGCTGATAGTTTTGATTGATTTTTTTGTTCTTCTGGTTTGTGGCTTGGTTGACTGAACCTGTTCTTTTTGCAATACCATATTGTTGCAATTCTTATTTTTGTTTAAGGGCTGCCAGTCTGGTTTCAAAATCCTAGAAAATCTACTTTAACTTTTGGACTTAATTGCTTGCTTGAATTAATGATGTTTTCTAATTTCTGTTGAGGGGTTTTGTTTGTGCCATTTTAGATTAAGCTTGTTTCATTGACTCAAAAACTGGTAAATTTTTGATAGTGCTACATTAATTTTTATTCTTGAGATCACAACATTAAAGAGGTCATAGTTTTGTCTTTCTCCCCCTCTCGGTACCGCTTTCTTTGTCCATCCCCTCTTTATTTTCTTAAAATATTTTAACACTTAGTGGCAGTCCTCACATTCTACTAAAGCTTTAATTTTTTTAGTTTGCTGACAATTATTCACTTTTTGTTGTGATTGTTTTTGTACATTATAAATTTCTGTAGTTCATCTATAGTACAAAATATACTGATCCAATATTGGGTTGGTGACTTAAAGAGTTTTTGTATAAAGTTTGCAACTGAAGGTGCTCTTTATGTCTTGAGTTAACACATTTTATAAGTCAAAGAATGAATTTCTTCTCAGTGTGTATTATATCTTTCATTATTGTTGAAATGGAGAAATTTGGCCCGACACGGGTCATTGTCGCTATCCTTGTGTTGATGCTGCAGTTTCAATTATCATTTTGAAGCTGCCTTTGAAGGGCAGTAGACTGCTATGTTACTTCCTAAAGAAATATATTTACATCTGCATTGAAATTGTTTGCAGAGGCGTTTGTTGATCTGCCGTAGAATGGTACGGAAGAGTTGATTCATATATATTTAAATATTGGGTTTGCTGACTTAAGCAACCATGATTGTTCCTTCGATAAGGAACATATTTGTACTGGTTTTGGTATGGAGTGAAGGTACATGTACTTTATGCAATTGTCGGGTAATTTTATAAATTCTTGTATAATTTCAATCAAACTGTAATAGCATATTTTAATTTTGTTTCCTTTGCACACTTGGGCTTTGTCCCATTTAAGATCTCAGTAGGGCTCTCTGGCTTACCTTTATAAGTATGGAATGCTGCAGTGCAGCTAAGTAATATTTGTGTAAATACATTAATACAAGTATGGATGTTCTTTCTCAAATAGATAGTTTAGTTGTTCACTTTATTTTGAGTGACTGAATGCTTGTGTGTGTGTGTGTGTGTGCATGTGTGAGTGTGTGAGCGAATGCGCGCGGGAGCAAGCGAGCATGTGTTTCATAGTGCATGGAAAAGCTCACCTGAAATTGTCTCCTTTTATTTTTATGTGGAGAATTAAGTGACTAGGTTGCATTTAATTTCTTAGGTTTCTTGCTTCCATTGTCGTAACATCAGTCAGCACTATAGCAATATAAAGTTTTTATGAAGTATTGCCTGTTAATGTGAATGCTTCATTTCAGTGTATTCTTTGAGACCCTTACAAGTCCGCTTAATGTATGACAATCTGTTCTGTTAAGTCTCATGTGAGGATCTTTTCAACTTCAATGTAATTTGGCCAACTTGTGTGTATACCTTAATGTCTGTGGTTAGAATTCTCCTACCATGTGTGACATATTGGTGTAACATCCACCAATAGCATATGAGTCGTTTCATTTTGTTTTTGCCACACATGCTTGTGTATTCTTAATTAACAGTTGCATGCAAATCTTGTGTTGTTCTTGTTACCATTGTTGTGGTTTCTATAGCGCACTGGTTTTTCTGGAGAATGTTGGTAATGCTGTTGCTATTTTATGTTGCATAGGACGTGTTCATTGAAGATGTTTAAAAGTTAATAGCCAAGTATGTACCCTAATATTGTATATTTCCGTCCAGGGTAGGGGTCTACCTTAAGAGGAGAGTAATAGAATTGAAGTAATGCATGAAAGAGGTACCTCAACAGGTAGCAACTGGTCCTGAACTGTGTGCTTGGGATTTGTCATTGAACTTAACCAATCTATCTTCAACCATATTTGACCAAAGGTATAATTGTTCTCCACCAGCTATTAATAATTCTGATACAAGAAGTTCAAAAATTCTTAATTGTTTTTTATTTTATTTTTGTTTGTTTGCCAGCCACCAGTAACTTTATTGATTTTTTTTAAATGCATATATTTTGTTTTTATGAATCCAACTATTGAACACACAATGCAATCTGTACATACTGTGTATTCTATTTTTAAACCGAAATTGTAGTAATAATTGGTCATAAATGTACAATCACTAACTTTGTTTCTTGATCTATTTTTATGAGGGAGATTTGTTTTATGTAGCTTTTCAATGCAAAATGGATTTTAGTAGGAAGAGTTGTCCAAAGCATTGATGTCTTGAAATGTGGTTGTCACAATTGTTTTCATTCATAATGAACTATGCAGAAGTATTGTTGGAAAAAGTTTTAGGTTGTAAGCTGCATTTTCGTATCTTCATAAAATATTTCTTTAATTTATATGCATATTATTGTAGCTACAGTACAGTTTCCAGTGCATTATTAGTTGACAATTGTTTGTGATAAAATTATGATGTACTTTACTCTCGACTAACCTGATTCTCAAATGACTGTTTCGGAATGCCTCCAGTTTTGCCTGTCAAATTTCTTCTTATGTGTTTCGATAAATGATTGAATGTCTGAGACCTAGTATGACAAGGTGTTTGATTGTTCACATTATAAAGCACTGGAAATAAACATGTTTTTATTGAAAATTGTGTTACAAAATTTTATACTTTACCCACAACCAATGCAGTTTAAAAAATTTAAGTGAAATTCTTCTTTTTTAACTACACAAACATGTGCATGAAGCACTATAAAAACAAACAAAAGTTTCACACAGTAACAAAGTATCAGCTCTCATCACATTTCACACAGCCAGAAGATGCTCAAGGACTCAGCATCAGCTAAAGCAGTTTCAAACACAGTACCAACAGGAATGATAAAAAAACAACAAAAAGAGCCTTTACTCCTAGGCAAAAGGAACAACTAACAGGGCGGGTTCACAACCATTCACATCTATTTTTAGACTAATGAGTGAGAACTCGCCTAGAGAAGTCAGCCACATATGTTAAACCATAAAACACAATGGAAGTAATTTTCGGCCTAAAAAGTCTGAAATTGACCTCTTCATCATAAGAATATACTGTAGGATAAAACAAAATTTGGATGAAATTTGCATAAAAAATATTCAAGAATCTAGCAAGAGCAGCAGCATACCATTGACTACTCCTAAGGTTTAGCTAAAACACCAACTTTTCTTAAATAACGAACAATAAACGGTGTGCTGAATAATGTAATACTTATACGAACTGGAGCAAACATTTTGTGAATAGCATAGGCAACGACAAAAGCACCCACTTCCCCTGCAACCTCTGATGAAAGATCCGTTGTTGAGAAAAAGCCAGTCATGTTTACACCACTGAAACAAAAAAAAGGAAGAAGCATATCAAGATAATGTAACAATATGAGGCAAATCTGAAAAAATGAAATGGACTCCTATTGATCTTAATTTAAAACTATGGTCTGTGGTCCTGAAATTTTCCTTGGGAGGGGCTTTACTAAATGATATACAAACCTTGTGACTGCCAGATAGAAGCCACCAAGTGAAATCAGTGAAATGCCAACATGGAACACAATCACTGTAGCTCCATAATCCTTTATTGCTTTCTTGAGTAGAGAGACTTTGTCCATCTTTTTAGGATCTGCTTCGGTTTCACTATTTGGAGGTGATTTTACATCTGAACTAAAGTGGCGAAGCTGACAACTTTGCCCTAGTGCATGGATTAGTCCTGAGCTTAGATAGGTACCTTTTTTCCCATGAAGGGTGGTGGCAGCACGTGCTGCAGGATCAGTTTCTTTGATGTTGGTATAGTGGGAATTCTGAAGATCCTGAGCAACGTACTTGTCGGACCGTGCCCATTCACCCCCAGGCATATTGAGGTGAGAAGACTTTCCTTTAGCAGTGTAGGGATCAGGCACATTTGTCTGCATTGCAGAATTTAAACTGACTGTTCCTGTGCAGTCATAACTTTGAAGAAAACTGTCTGCAGAGAGATCCTGCTTGACAGTAGGTTTGCTTGAAGAGCTTTGAGTGATTATCACATCACCCGTGATATCACGAGCTCTTTGAGGGGAAAAACGACCAGTTTCAATGGCATTTATGTCCTCCACATTGGTTGGAAGGGGTATATCCTTAGCATCTGGATATGACGATGCTGTTGTTAAGTGAATATCCTGGGAGCATCTTTTTAGAATCTGCAGCTTTTCGAAATCCTTCGTTCCTGTAAATAACGGGAGACCATTGTAAACAAAACAGACTGATGGGTTAGGAAGAAAAGTGAAAGGCAAGAGGAGAAGGGAGATGGTTCATACAGAAATACTCACACAATCGAACAAAATGATACAAATTTTCAGTATTAATTATAACTGATATTATTATCAGTTGTCATTGTGGTCATGTCCAAAAGGGTAAAGTACTAACCAATGTGACTTGAGCGGCAGAATGAAGAAAGATTTAGAGTTCTTCGTTGCAGCAGAAGTTGGTGCAAACGAAGAGCCATGGTAGTAATGTACTCGGTCAGTTTCAAAAGGGGAGAAAATCTACAACACAGGACAGGCAGCTGGTGTTTTGGTGTTGCTGTTGCTGTGCTAGACAGACAACGCAGCCAGCCGACGCGGCCTTGAAGGGGCTCACTGGGGAGCTGGGAGCTGTCCTGTCATCATTGATCAACCTAACCGTAAACTGACTAAAAAGCTATTTTAAGGATAATTTTATCCAAAGGGTGCACATATTTATCGTTTGACCATTTTTGGAAGAGAAAGGACAAGTACTTTGGGAGGAAAGTAACATTTACAATGTCATTATCGTGACTGTACACAAACATCTTTCTCTTTCGCAGCCTTTATTTTTCATAACATCTCTTGTCAACTGTCCACCACTAGATTTGAAATTTGTGAAAGTTTTGTGTTCAGCTCCCTAGAAACCGACATCAGACGTCAGCAGGTTCAAGGAACCATGACAGCATTTAAAAGAAGTGCAATGGGATATGCAGTGGAATTTTAAGGCCTTGTTTGGCCTCTTTAGACTTTAACTTTCTCTGTTTTCTAAGGCAGGGGTGCTCATAATAACTATGAGCCCTAAGGGTTATGAGACCAAGGAGTCCTTGGCATTACAATTGTTTGAGGCAGTTGAAGAACAAAACATTCAGTAAGTACAACACTCAAAACCTCCTGAATTTGTAATATCCTTTTTTCCGCTGCCTGACACAACTACCATTGTTATTATTATTATTATTATTTTTTTGCAGAGACATTTTCAGATTGTTGGATCACAACAGGGCTGACCCAAACATTGTAATCCCAGAAAAAGGTGTAAGTCCCTTTCACCTTGTCATTGGCTCTGATTGTGCCTATTTTGCTGAGGAAGCAACACGAGCCTTTCTGCAACGCAATGGAAACCCTAATGTCAGGTAGGTTTCTCATTGTGAAAGTTGTCTGATGACTGTCGTTGCTTGTTCTAAAACAATGTCCTTTTCAGAAGTGAAGATGGTCTTACGCCAGTACATGTGGCTGCTGTATGGGGAAGAACGGGTCTTTTAGTTCTTCTTCTTTCTTGCGGAGGAGATCCATCCCTACGCGATAACGAAGAAGGCCGCACTCCATTGCATTTAGCATTGAAAGAAAAACATTGGGAAGCAGCCCTTATTCTCCAACGTTATCAATTAATGGACAGACGTCACAGACATAGTGGAGTTCACCCTACTCAACGTTTCAATATGAATTTAGGTAAGCTTTAAAACTGCCTTTTCTTTAAACATATAAACCAACAGAATGGACTAAACAAAATAGCCTTGTATTTTTATATGTTTTAGAAACAATTGTGGTAAATGCTGGTGAAATGCAGGCTGAATATGCAGCGTCTCCTCAAAACAATATGTACCCTATCCTTTCTCCTGTTCCTGTAAGACACTTTTTAATTTTCTTGAATAGTTATTATACACACAGTGTTTTTGTGTGTTTCTTCGTAGCTTTTTTGTTTGACAATATGTCTTTTACTATCAATGAATAATTGAAAGGTGCTCTTTGTTATCCAGGGACCTAAAAAAGGGAATAATGGCTGTGGCTGGAACATAGAGCCACTTGAAACCCAGGAATATGTTCGCCAATGGTGTCACAAGGAGTTTACTCCTGTCACAAGCACTCCTACTCACCACAAACCACTGAATTGTTCTGATTTAGTCTACAACCAAGAGACTCTTCTGAATGGAAGCCCTGTCTGCAAGACACCTAATATAACATCCTCTAAAGTAATGACTCCCAAAAATGTGGATTTTGGTGCAAACAACCTGGCTCCTGCAAATGCACAGCCTTCAAAAAGTGCACCTAAACCCTCTACAGATGTCCGCAAAAATTTATTTCTTGAATTGAAAAAGCGTTTTAATGGGCTGAAACAGTCGTTTGACAGTGCAAAAGATGATTCAGGTAAAGCAAACAACTTTGAGCGGAAAGGAAGTTTCGGATATTTTCGAAGAAAGAGTGCAGCAAAGTTGAAAAGCAGTAATCCACAAGTGACAGTTCCTGCTCTGGCCAGGAATGACAGCAAGAGCTGCATCAGTGAGAATTTAAGTTTTGTTACTTCAAGATCAGTTGATTCTCCAAGTGGAGAAAATGCTACTGATCAAAATGCTGACTGTGAAATCAAATCGAGTCTTGAAAATTCCCCTGTTGATGAAGTGGACGCTGTTCCATTGAATGGTTCTCAAGATACTTCTGTAGAATGGATTGCTAGTCAGTCCTGCTTTTCAGAAGAGCTCAGCCCCAACTCTAGTCACTCTCAATCATACTTCACATGTGATGAAGGTCCTACTTTAGCAAGGAGTGAGATATTACCCATTGTTGCTTTGGGTGACCTTCGAATGGAAGCAGTACCCATCATTCCAGAACCGCCAGTGCCACCAGTTTTACCATTATCAAAACAGAATGAAATACCACAACGCCCTCCTCGTAGGAAGCAGTTAAAAGCAATGAACACTACTAACCCTGAATCAGCCCCCTCTAGTGTGCCATCAACAACTTCTTTTGGAACAATTGTTTCCGAAGAGTACCGATACACTGATGATGATGCAGGTGTCGTTTTGATTGAAAGTCATTTGTTGGTTAAGCCAGTTGATGTTCCCAGCCCATCTGACACTGAAAGTGTGGTATCTGTACCTCATACTGTAATTAGTGATACACGCACTATCGCTTCAGATGTTTCATCGGTGCCAGCAAGTTTTCTATACGACTCCATAGCTCTTCGAAAAGAGTTAAAATCACTTGGGGAAGATGTTGGACCAATCACATCGACAACCAAAAAGGTGTACCTTCGGCGGTTGTACCGTTTAAAGAAAAGAAATAGTGGCCCATCATCTGTTTCATGTGTAACAACCTTCACACCTGAGCTGCAACGAGTATTAAATAGTGAGGAGTGGGAGTCTGATATAATGAATTATGCCAAGTATGAGATGCTTATGAGTGCTCCTTTTGAGAACCCAGATCCAAACAGACGATGGCGAGAAGGAGTTGCTAAATCATCTTTCAACTACTTGTTACTTGATCCACGAATTAGTCAAAATTTACCAGCAACTGTGACTTCTCAGAATTTGAGTACCTGGCGCCAATTCATTTCATCTGTTTTTTATATTGGAAAGGGTAAACGCTCAAGGCCATATGCTCACCTTTACCAAGCTGTTCATTCTTGGAACAGGAGAGAGATAGTAAGAAGTCAAAATGCTAAGGTTTGTTGAATTTTATTTAAGATGTAGTATTATAACCCATGTAAAAATGATGATTTTTAATTTAATCTTTGGAACTTTGTTTTACAGATTCAGCGAATTCTTGACATATGGAAAGATGGACATGGGGTAGTGTGTCTTCATGTTTTCCAGAATGTAATTCCAGTGGAGGCTTTCACCCGGGAAGCAGCTATGATAGATGCCATTGGCTCTAACAATATTGTTAATTTAAAGAGTGGGGAATATTATGGACCAGCTTCTACTTGGAGAACACGTCAAAAAAGGCAGCTTGGTGTCCATCTACTGTACAGAGCAATGAGGATATTCCTCTGTGACGGAGAGCGACAACTTCGTCCTGGAGACATTGACTGAAGCAGATCCTGCTTTTGTTTTACATTAATATCATTTCATGTATTGACTTAGAGTATTGTATTCAGATTTTTAATTTTAACTATGATGTTTCATTGTTTTCTCACGTCAAATGTGTTCATATATATTAGGTTTCTGTTTTACTCGAGAGAAATCTAATACTGGCTGTGATCATATCTTATTAGTTTACTGGTTTCCAATTTTTCTTTGAAAGAAAGAAAACAATTAAAATCTTACATGTTTGTGTATTTCTTTTAACAACTTGTGTTTGTGTTATATTACAGTGTGACAATATGTATAAATAAATAGCATTAATTTAGTAGAAAGTACTCACAATGGGGTTCTTCCCTCATTTCTGTTTCCACTATTTGCTTTTAGACATTCCTCTGCTGCTTTGAGAATAGATTTGTTTTTTTCTTTGATTGCAAGATTCTGACCCATTGTACACCAGTGCCTAGCCTCCTCGGAGAGCCCACTTTCTTTCAGAGCTAAGCCCCGGTTCACCATAATTACTGCAGCACTTGTATCAACTTCTTCTTGATTAGCAATGGCAAGAGCTTTTTCAAAACATTGCGATGCCTCTTCTTTCTCTCCAAGTGATGTTTTTATTACTCCCATGTCAGAAAGTAAAATAGCCTGCAAAAGAAGGAATGCAGTTGAAACCAGAAAACTGACATTTAAGCTTACATCACGTTTCCCAACAATATATTACTTACTCCAATTTTATTGTTCAGGTTGCCAAACACGGTTTCTGCCATTTCCAGTGCTAGTTCTAGAAACTTAACAGCTTCATTTGGTCTCTTAACATGAAGCAGGAATAAACTGTACCGATCCAAAGTCTGTGTGTAGAGTATAAGTGTGTCTTCATCGGATGCACCTTCAGTAATTTTCTTCTTTAATGAGTCCAAGCAGAAAAGAAATCCTTGCTCACTCTTCCTGTTGAAAGGAGTTCTTAATAAAGAAAAAGAACTTTCATACATCAGACTGTGTAACGAATATGGGTACTTACGTGTAATCGCCCATGGTCAAAAATGTGTCGGCTATTTTGAGACTGATATTTATAACAATAATGTCATCCTGAGCTAAACCACTGCCAATCAATCTTTTCAACACCTCCACAAAAAGAGCTTGAGCTTTTTGATGCTCACCATTTTCAAAAGCTAAATTAGCCATGGTATCATAAACATATGTGATGCCCTTTTCATGTTTCATGTCCTGGGCCATTTTCAATGCTATATGTAAAAGACGCTCAGCCTTCTGTGGTTCTCCATTCTGCAACATTTAAAGTTTCTGAGTGACATAACGTTACATGAGTTTTGTTAAAGACGATAACGACGTTACATAACCCATCGCACCTCCATGAGTAATATACTCCTCTTGATGTGATTTACTAAATTTTTTTCTGGAGTCAGTTCTTCTGTTTCATCACTTGGAAAAATTCCCTTTAATATAGCAGGCACAAACATGATTCTCAAGTGGGAATAGCTTTTCTTCTCATTCCTTCTGCCACCGTTTCTATGGGTACCCTTCAGCGGAGACACTTCATGGACAGCACTATTTGTCACTCCGCAAAATTTATTCCAAAGACAACCCAGGGCCTCACGGTTAGTGAGAAATGCGCTTTCAGGAATAAATGTTGAGTAAAAGGGCACATAACTGGGTCTGATTGAGTTGATTTTCCCCAGCAGACAATGCCTGAATAGCGCCATGTTTTCCTGGTGGCGCCCTCTATGCTGTCTGCTTGTGTGTAAATAAGCAAGCAAAGCAAGCAGACGTCAAGCGAATATAGTCGGGGGGCTGTTCGGTTCCTTTTTCTACACAATTTACTGTCTTTAGTTTAAATTTGAGCAATGAATCCACCAGCATCTCTTGTATATTTGAAAGAATTGCCGCCGGAAGTTCGAGAAAAAGTGTGCAGAGTTCTTGCCGAAGATCGTGCGTGGGAAGCATTGGGTTAGTCCAGTCCTTACAGTCCAAATCCTACTGTCAAGTTTACTTTCCATTTTCTTTTTATTTATTTGTTTCACCGTTTACAGTTGGGAAATTGATTGATTTGAGAATCAACATCACCTCTACTGAAGAACTGGAGAGCACAACTTCTCCGGCTGACAAATTGTTCAATATACTCACACATCACAATTTTAAGGTGACTATCTCGTCCTACAAATACCTGAAACTTTTAACCCTTTCTTTTTTGGATAAAAACATTAATGATGTTTTTTCAACAGGATGGATCCCTTAAAATTGCAACATTTTATAAGATTTGTGCAACGTTGAAACTGCGCAAACTGATGCATTGTCTAGCACCCCATGGTAAGCAAGTTATGACAGTAAAATCTCTTTTCTCATTTGCCTCTGAAATTTTAATATATGTTATTGAAACTGTGTGTTCAGTCAAGGAAGATGTGATAAAAATGGTTGAGGGTGCCATGAAGCGATCATCCTCAAATATAACTCCGGGAAATAATGTTGGTCTGACACAGAATCACACAGAGGTTTATCTACATCAGCTACCTGCCGATAAAAGAACAAAACTATGTGCAGTATTGAATCATAATGACGAATGGCGACATTTAAGTTAGTAAAGTATAAGCTATTTTAGTTTTCTCAATTTGTATTTCTATTGTATTGGTTTCTAATAATGCATCTCTGACGTTCCTTTCAGTGGCAAAGTTTGAAAAGGCTGGCTTCACACATAATCACATAAAATTGTGTGAAATGAACTCTCCAAACAATCCATCTAGTGAAGTTTTTCAATTACTCGCAGACAGAAATTTTAAAATATCACTTTTGTATGCAGCCCTGGCATCAATGAACCTCCATGAAGCAATGAACATACTGCAATGCTATGGTTTGTGCCTTCACGTTTTTACAAAATTTCAAAAATCTTCTCTGTACTGAACATTTAAAGAAAATTTTCCACCCAGCTGCAGAAATTGAGGGAAAAGTGGAAAGGGGGGTGGGGGTAGAAGGTGTGCTTGTCACAGGGATGCAGAATTGGTGCAAGGAGGTCAACTTGGCCCCAAGCTGGCAGACTATAAAACTGTAATGCCCAGTCTCACATAACTTATATCCTATCTTTTTATATCTTCAATCCAGTTGCAGAAAACTTAATGAATGCACAGCCGTATTCTCACAGGCATGATGTCAAGAACAATGTTTCTGTGACTAATAAACAGTGTGGGAATAAAAATTCAATTATAGAGAAAATGGAAAATAAAGAAAAATTAGATGGCTTCATTTCAAGAGGTAAGTAGATGTGCTGTGGACGTCTTCATATACATTGCTGGAATGCGGAGAAACAAACTTTTTAATCCTCCGCCTTGAGCAAAATGGTATTTATGTCCAGATTCTGTTTCAATATCAGGTATGGCATATACAGAACTTTCGAAAATGACAAATGGATGGAGTGACGAAAACCGTCTTGGTCCAAATGGCAAAGGAAGTTTTTACCTTGGTATACGGGATGATGGGAAGGAGGTAGCAGTGAAGAGACTGCTGCTTGAAGTAATAATAATTATAGAAAATATTCAAGTTGTAATCTTCTTTTCCAATAATTTTTATTGATTGTTTTTTTCTTCTTTTTTTTTTATAGGATGAAAAGCAACGTTGGAAAGTCCTTCAAGAGCTACACCAATTGGAAGATTTTGGAAAGAAACTGGAAGGCCATAAAAATGTCCTTAAAATGTTAATGCTCATTGAAGGCGACAGTGATAACAACCCTTGTATAATTTATCCTTTCAAAAAGAAGAAATCTTTGTATGATCATTTACAAAATAAGGTGATTTTTTTTTGTGAGGATTTCTCTTTGGAGTCTTGTTGGGGGATCTGAGTGTTAAGTTAGTATTACATAATGCATTTTTATTTTTCTCAGGGTTTTTCAATACCTCATGAGGGTTCAACGTCTTGCTGGGAGCAGAAACGAATTATTGCTCTAGGCGTAACTAAAGCATTAATTTATCTGCAAGGATGTTTTGGAAAGCAAACTGTTGTTGTGAAAAGGTTCTTGTCGTTTTTCTTAGCAAGTATTGCCATTGTTGATACATTTCAAATGATACATTCTCTCTCTTTGTTTCCAGTTCTGACATAATACTGGATGATACAATGGGGCCTTTAGTAGCAGATGTCTGTCTTCCAAGTATGATGGAAAGAAACCATTCTAAGTACCTTGCTATGTATTTGCCTCCTCAACAAGAGGGATCAGAAATAAAGACCTTCTGTCTGGGCACGGTAGGACATTTGAAAGTCAAAGTAAGGGTTTAATACTTTTTATTCTTAATATTTACTGACGGAAATTTTTCTTTGTTCATGCAGATTATTTTAGAGTTAGTCACGGGGAAAACAGCTGATAGATATGACAAGCATCCAGTAAGTACGCACTTTTGTACTGTTAGCGTTTACTTATTTGTCACTTAAGTTTTCAGTGTACCTACACCAGTAGTCTCTTTAACTTATCTTGATTTGTGTCTATTTGTGTGTGTAGGAACAACTCAAAGAGTTCAAAGAAATCTCTATGGAATCTGATGTCAGTCAAAAGATCAGCAAAAAAGAAAAAGGAAAATGGAAAGCATTAATTTTATCGTGCTTGCAAGGTTCTACTGAATTAACTGCAGTTCAAGAAATTCTAGAAGAAATGGCATAATTTGAAAACTTGCCTATTGCTGTCAGTAATGACTCGACCTTAAACATGTACCTGGTGTATCTTTTAAAACTTGTAATGTCATTCTTTTCCTGATGGATGTTGTAGAATATGATGTGAATCATACGTTTTTCTTTTCTATTGTTACATGATCCAATTGGATAATGTTTTGTTATATTTAAAATTTTATTCTATTGAAATCTAAAATTAATCAATAACAATTGTTTTTTTTTTTTTTTTTTCTTATTCGATTTTATATAAACTTGTTTCATCAACAGATCATAATTATGTTCTTTCAAATGTCATTTCTTTTACCCCTTTCCCAGGTGAAGAAAAACCTTCCAGCACACAACAGTGTGCAAGAAAGAGTCTTTATAAAACTACACTGCGATCTGCTGGCAAGTTTTATTTGTGGCAAAAGCGTATCTGGTCAATCACGAACTGGTCAATCTTGATCCCTAATTTTTTTTTGTGGGGGGAAGGGGGAGGTACAATCTAAAAGCACCACAAAATGTTGATGTAATTTGGCCGTATTTATCGAATTTTTTTCATCAAACATGCACAGCTTAAAGTCGACGCGCCCCTGTCTTCATAGGTCGATGGCACTGAGAGCAGAGACGGGGTCCCAGTCCAGCCGGTCCGCGCTGCGACGCCGACGCCGGCGTCTCCGCCTCCTGCGGCGGTCGCGAGCGGGCAGCGGCAGCGACGCCAGGGGCTCGTACAGCGGCGTGCCGTCCTGGCCGAACTCCTGCGCACGCGGCCACGCGGTGGTAGCGAGGACAATCATGTCGAGCTGCGCCAGACTGATCCCGAGAGTCGTTTCCGTGGCTCTGTCTCTCTCGCACTCATGGGGCGTCCCGTGTAAGGTGCGACGGAAACGGCTCTGGGAATCAGTCCACAGAGCACCCTCACGAAGGCGAAGACTCACCAGACAGCGGCCGCTGACGCAGAAGGCGCGGACGGGCCTTCCCCGCGAGCAGTCCGTGCCGAAGGGGAACCAGCCGTCGCGGCCGTTGACGAGGTAGAAGCGGTGCGGCACGGCCTCGTCCTGGCACGCCACGCGGCACGGCCGGTCCCTGTCGTCTGCGGAGCGGAGCGAGGAGAGGAGGCCCAGCAAGGCGTTACACAGTGGGCCAGAAGACCGGTGGAGGCGGCCAAAACTCTAGACGCGTTTTGCGCTCCAGAGTCGCTAAATGGGACTCGAACCGAACGTGTGACCCCACCAATGGATTGCTCTCCGAACGAGGAATCCATTGGTGGGGTCACACGTTCGGTTCGAGTCCCATTTAGCGACTCTGGAGCGCAAAACGCGTCTAGAGTTTTGGCCGCCTCCACCGGTCTTCTGGCCCACTGTGCGTTATCGCGGTGCCTGTTCCGAGGGCGGCAGTTCACGGCAGTCCGTCGGTGAAGGCAAGGATGCAGACTGATGCCGAGAGTCGGTCTCGTCTCTCCGACTCGCTCTCCGACACCTGATTCCGCCGGATCGCCTCGTCTGTCTCTGTCGCACCCATGGACCGTCCCACAGGGGAGCGAGCACGAGACAGACAGCGATGAAAAGATCATTCGGAATCATCCCGCTTATGTCTTTCTCGCCCTCATGGGCCGTCGCGTGCCGGTGCGAGGGAGACAGGAAAACGACTCTGGGAATCAGTCTGCTGGAGGAGGCACTCACCGTCCGCCGCGGAGATCTGCATGCCCAGGCCGGAGAGGCGGCGCACGCGGGTGCGGAACTTGGCGCACAGGGCGCTGGCCACCTCGAACGGGGTGCGCAGGCGGCCGCAGCTCTGTGTGGGCAGGGAAGGACAGCGCATGAGCAGCCCGATTGAAATTTGAGTGACGCTCCCGTCGCGCTGTCTCTCTCGCACTCTCGGGGCCTCCCGTGTGGGTGCGAGTAGAGTCACAGAGCGACGAAAACGGCTCCGAGATGACCTCCAGGATGTTGTTGGAGGCCCGCAGGCAGACTAGTGAGGTGGGTAACGGATGCAGCACCGGATGCAGAGGTAGGTAAAAAGCCACAACTCCACCCTCGTAAGAAGGAAGAAAGCGCAACTTTGGTCCCCTCCGGGGGCCGGCTCTGGATCCGCCCCAGGCCCCAGGACTCACTCACCAGGACGTCGGGCTCGCAGGTCTGCAGCGTGCAGTTGCCGCGGCAGGGCCCGTCGCCCCTGCGCCGCACCAGCCGCAGCCCCGTGCCGGGCGTGACGCAGGACGAGTGGCAGCCGGACGCGTGCTCCAGGGGGGCCAGGGTGGCCTGGGTGGCGTGCACGCCGTGCTGCGGGGTGTGCGCCGCGCTGGCCGCGCCCACCAAGGCCGCGGCCGTGGGGACGGCGGCGGCCGTGGCGGCCGTGGTGCTGTTGTCCTGCTGGCCCGCCTCCCGCCGCCGGCCCTTGAAGCGCTGCAGGAAGGCGCTGGCCGCGTTGAAGCTGGTGGCGGACTTGGTGGCGGACTTGGACATCTCGACGGTCATGCTGCACCGCGAGTGCGGCAGGCCGAACAGGGAGTCGGCCGGGCCGTTGCAGCGGAACTCCTGTCCACAGGATCACGGGGTCAGCCTCCTCGCGCGACAGCACACCGGTCCCGAGAGCGTTTCTGTCGCTCTCGCTCTCTCGCACTCGTGGGGCGTCCCGTGTAGGTGCGAGAGAGACACAGCGAGGAAACCGACTCTCGGAATCAGTCTGCAGGTCCACGTCGCACAAGAGGGCCAGGACCGCGGCCGGCGCAGGCGGCCAAAACTCTACAGGCGTTTCGAGCTGCAGAGTAGAGTTGCTGAATGGGACTCGAATCGATCGTGTGACCCCGCGAATTCATTCCTCGCCGAACGAGGAATCCATTGTTGGGACGTTCGTTTCGAGTCCTGTTTATAGCGACTCGGGCTCAAAACGCGTCTAGAGTTTTGGCCACGCGCCGGCCTTCCGGCAAATCCACTGTGCAGTTTGCCGTCGTCCTTGTCGGTGTGCCCTCCGCTCACCTCGCATCTCCCGCCCACGCAGTAACTGATGGCTGCGCCTGGGCTGCCGGGTCCTCCGCGAGGTCCTCCGGGGCCGCCGGCGTCGCCGCCCAGGACGCAGGCCGTGCCGTCGGGGAAGCTCCAGGCGCGCGGACGGGCGCCGCCCGACCGCATGTGGCACCACACCGCGCACGCCTCGAGGGCTGAAGCAGAGGGAGCCACGCGGACAGTCAGGCAGGAGTCAAGAGCGCGCGCGACCGCCGCACCGTGGGCCAGAAGACCGGTGGAGGCGGCCAAAATTCTAGACGCGTTTTGAGCTCCAGAGTCGCTGAACGGGACTAGAACGGAACGTGTGACCCCACCAATGGATTGCTCTGCGAACGAGGAATCCATTGGTGGGGTCACACGTTCGGTTCGAGCCCTATTTAGCGACCCTGGAGCTCGAAACGCGTCCGGGATTTTAGCCGCCTCCACCGGTCTTCTGGCCCACTGTGCACCGCGACACACCTGTTGCTGGCGGCTGGCGCCAGTAGACTGCGATTCCGAGAGGGGGAAGGAGGTCTCTCTCGCTCGTACTCAAGGGGCACTCCGTACCGGTGCGAGAGAGACAGACCGACGCCCTCACGAATCCGCACGAATCAGTCTAGTACCGGCGAGATACTCACGGTCGGTGCTGGTCATCTGCAGCCCCGTCCCCAGAAGGCTGGGCTGCACGTCGCGGGCCCCGGGGAAAGGGGCCCCAAAGGCCCGGGCCCCCGGGCCGCACTTTTCATGGGAAATCTTTCGTCTGGAGTGACTTTGGGGGCCGGGCACTGGGTTCATAGGGGGAATGCACTTAAAGGCATTTGTATGGTGCAGTGTCTGCTCAAAACCTTTTGCAGGTCCTCTTGGAAGATTCTCCTTGTGTGGTCGAAACTTGTTCCCTCTTCTGGGTGTTCTGCAAGTTATGCATGGTGCGCCCCTGTCTGCCTCTCAAACTGCAGCCAGGTAGCATTGGCGGCTTTATCTCTCGTGGGCTCGGTCTCTTTTGTCCGAGAATCCCGTAGAACATAACGAGGAGTTGATGTATCCACTGTAAGACATTTAGAGAGAGAGAGGGACGCATCGCTGATCCCGGCGTTTTTCTCTTTATTCCTTTTTTGTACCTGCGGCGCGTTGCACGTCCGGTAGCGGCGGTCGCTGCCCTGGCAGGGCCTGCCGCCGTTCTCCGGGCGCGGGTTGTTGCACCTCCGCGTCGCCACCATGATGCCCGTGGAGCCCCTCAGCTCGTGCGGCTCGTGGTAGCCGGCCGCGTCCTCGGACAGGTAGTCCTCCGACAGGCAGCCCGACGCGCAGTCCGAGAAGGGCGACCACTCGCTCCAGCCGCCGTCCACCGCGGCGCCCGTCAACGCGGCCACGGCCAGCGCGCCTCGCGACACGCAGCGCCCCAGGCGGCACCACTGGAAGGGGTCAAAGTTCAAACACTGGGCTGGGCAAGGATTTTGGGGCTTCCTTCGAGCAAGCGCGGATCCAGAGGTGAGGTGGGGCCTTGACCTCTACCGCCTTGACAGGTAGTCAAACAGCAAAGCTTGGCCCCTGTAAGTAGGCAGAAAGCAACCTTTCACCTGTGTCAGTGGACAACAACTCACGCACGAAGGCGTAGGCAACACTGCAGGCTGGTTCCAAGAGTCGTTTTCGTCGCTCTGCCTCTCTCGCACCTTTACGGGACGTCCGTTGAGTGCGAGAGAGACAGAGCGACGGAAACGACTTCCGGAGTAAGCCTGCTGTGCCGCTGTAAGTAAGGTAAAAAGTGCTAAGTTGGCCGCCTCCGAGGCCGGGGCAGTATATACCTTGTTGCGGCCGCAGCCCGTGCCGTCCAGCGCCGGGTGCGACGTCCACGTGTAGCGGTCGCGGCGGCAGTGCAGGTCCCTGCAGGCGTCCTCCAGGGGCTGCGCCTCCGAGTGCACCGCGCCGCGCCCGTACTTGAGCATGCCTGGGATGGGGCGACAAGGCGGGATTCAGCCGTCTCACTCCGAAGGATCTCTCTCGCACTCACGGCGCGCCCCCATGAGTGCGAGAGAGACGGAGCGACGAAAACGACTCTCGGAATCAGTGCAAGGACAAGGACGGGACGGCAAGGACTCACACTGCTGGTCGGCATCGAAGCGCTCCCCAGGCAGCACGCCGCCGGCGGAGTGGTCCAGCGACTCTGGCCCGGGGCCGTCGAGCAGGCAGTTGGACTGCGGCGACCTGGACAGGCAAGCCCTGGTTAGCGAGGGGCCGCGGCGATGTAGGGCGGAAGGTGCACTGTAAACTGTATTGTGCACTCACTGCAGAAAGGTGTGGAGGTAGTGGCGGCTGCACGACGACCAGGTGGTCTTCCCCGAGCCCAGGGTGGGCGACATGAGGAAGCTGCCGGGGTCGCAATCGTTGTCCGAGAGCGGGCCGTCGTGCCGCATGCCGAGGCTGTGGGCAAAGGGCGAAGCGCGAAGCACGCCGTCGACGACGTTACGCGTGACAGTCCGCACCAAAACCCTTTGATACAGTGCTCCACCGAAAAAGAAGCTCACTCACTTGTGGCCGATCTCGTGCGCCACCACGTACACGCTCTCGAAGTGGCGGCCCTCGTTGACGGTGCAGCTGGACGCCGAGCACATCCCCGCCACGGGGGCCAGGCCTGGAACACCACAGCGTGCCGTCATGGCGCCGTCGGCATCGTCAGCCGCCGCGTCTCGTGTCGCACGGAAAAGGGACTGCAGAGCCCTGCTCTCGTCGCTCTGCCTCTCTCGCTTTCATTGAGCACCGCCACGTAGAGCGCCGCGCAAGGGTGCGAGAGAGACAGAGTGACTGGAACCAGCTAGAGGCGCAACGACCTCCGCGAAGACCTCTGCGAAGGCCTCCGCGAAGACCTCTGCGAAGACCTCCGCGAAGACCTCGGCGGCGACGTACCGACGACCTGGGAGGACACCTTGCCGCCCTTGCCGACGACGTACAGGTCCAGCCCCGTGAGGATGAGGGCGTGGTCCCAGTGCAGCGGGTGCGCGTCGCTGCCGGGGTTGGTGGCGGCCTGCCACGCGCAGAACGAGGACAGGAAGCGGTCGATGTCGTGCGAGCGGCGCAGCCCCGCCGGCTCGGCGTGCAGCAGCTCGAGGCGCTTCAGGGCGATGCGGACGGGCCGGCCCAGCGAGGGGGACTCGTACAGCAGTTGCACCTGCCGCCAAAAGGCCAAAACCACTGTCATTGCATACCCCGTTCCGCCTTGAAGGGCAGACTCACGATCACCGCGTTCACCGTGGCCCGCCTTCACACTCACCGCGTTCACCACGGTCCGCCTTCACACAACGCGTTCACCACGGTCCACCTTTACATTAACCGCGTTCACCGCGGTCCGCCTTCACACTCACCGAGTTCACCATGGCCCGCCTCCACATTCACCGCGTTTACCATGGTCGGCCTTCACATTCGCCGCGTTCACCACGGCCACGCCTTCACACTCACCGCGTTCACCATGGCCAGCACGAACCGCACCACCTCCCGCTCCGTGTCCACGGCGAAGTTGAGCGCCATGTGCTGCACCAGGTCTCGGTCCACGAACACGGCTGTCTCGATGTGCACGGCGGGCAGGGGCGCGGCGCTGGGCTGCGACACGTCCCTGGCCGACCTGGCGGCGCGCAGGCCTCGGTGCCCTCGGTGCGCAGAGGCCGTGCGGTTGGCCAGCCCGGTGGCGTGCCCGTCGTCACCGAGGCCCTCCCGCAGCCCGCACGAGGACGTCGAGACCGTGGAGGCGGCGGCGGGGTCCCTGCGCGTGAACACATGGCGTGAGGCAGGACAGGATTGTGAGGTGAGAGAGGCTCGTGTTTTCAGAATTCTCACTTGAGGGCGCTCGGCAGGGCAGGCAGCGACCGCTTGAGCAGGATGTGCGACGGGCCGGCCGCGTCGGTCACCAGACGACCCGGCAGTGGCTGGAGGATGAACATATGCCGACTCGATGAAGCCGCTGAGTCCAGTATCACGCCGCGCTGATAAAAAAAGAAAATAATAATAATAAAATAATTTACATGTAACAATAATATTGGAACGCGGAAAAAATTTCCGATACCGGGAATCGAACCCGAGCCTCCTGGGTGAGAGCCAGGTATCCTAGCCACTAGACCATATCGGATGATATGCATTGTGATGTACCCCAACAAATGTTATTGTACAGCTATGAGCGAGCGAAGTCACATGAATTACGCGCAAAACATTACGCCCAACGTGGGGCTCGAACCCACGACCCTGGGATTAAGAGTCCCATGCTCTACCGACTGAGCTAGCCGGGCTGGTGTAAGACCATTTCCCCAGTGGCTCTTTGGTGTGGCCGTGCTCCTCGACGGCGAGCTACTTGAGTCCACGCTTTTTCCGGCGCGGCTTGGCGCGGCGCGGTTGCGCGGTGAGTGGCGTGGCGGGAGAGGCGTGGAGTGGCCGTTTACTAGTGTGGCGCGAGGCACGAGTGTCAGAACGGACAGTGACACGTCAGTATACACTGATCGACACTTTCGATTCTGAAGAGAGGTCAGCGGGGTCAATGAGGACTGCCCGGATTGGCCGACTCTCTGCTCCCTTTTCACTGCGTACCTTATCGCGATTCGGTTTGATAATCCCCGCAGAGTGCTGGTAGCGTGGGAATTTGTGTCGGCACCATGTGTTACAGGTCGGGGACCTTCGCTTCTTAGAGAAAATATTCGCCTCGGCATCGCGACGACGTGTTGCTCGGGAAACGAGGCGCTGGCACGCCGCCCGCAGACTGATTCCGCGAGTCTTTTTCGTCGCGCTGTCTCTCTCGCACCTATACGGGTTTGCCCATGAGTGGGAGAGAGACAGCGACGAAGCGGCTTTCGGGATCAGCCTGCAGACGCGCTCCCCCACCCCGCACCGCGCGACGCGGGCCCCCTCCCCCCTTCCCTACGCTGCCCTTATCCACCGCTGCTGCCGCTACACGCAGAACGGGGTCTCCTGGGTGAAGTCGTTGCAGGCATCGGCATCATCTCTACATGAGCATCGGTGGTTCAGTGGTAGAATGCTCGCCTGCCACGCGGGCGGCCCGGGTTCGATTCCCGGCCGATGCAATTTTTATGAGACATCGAAGGGATTGACCGAACGTTGTAGGTGGGAAGCGAGGAATCTATATTAGCCAAGTTGGGGGCAACAGCAACAAGCCTCCGTGGCGCAATGGTTAGCGCGTTCGGCTGTTAACCGAAAGGTTGGTGGTTCGACCCCACCCGGGGGCGTGTATTTTAAATAGTCTCGTAGAAATTCTCTTTTTGTGGATTCCCCTTACCGTGACATGATCGCAGACCTGCATGGCCGCCCTCTCCCCGGCGTGGCCGTCGCCGCGATAGAGGCACCGTGCTTCGCGCGCCGCCAGGTCGCCGTCGACGTCCACGTGCTCGCTGTGGTTGGCGTGGCGGCGCAGGATGGCGAAGTGCGGGTCCAGGATGGCGGCGGCGCGGCGCAGGCGCAGTTTGAAGAGGCGACCCATGCCCTCCAGCTCGGCCACGGCCTCGTCCTCCACGCCGTTGAGGTCGGCGTCGTCATGCCCGGAGTCGTCCTGTGCGACGTCGTCCTGCCCGGCCCAGCGACGCCGCCGGTGTCCGGGACCACCGTCGTCACCTCCACGGCGCACCAAGGGTCGCACCAGGGCGAAGTCCCCTCCATGAGAACCTGCACCAAAGACAAGAAACGACGCGGTGAGTCTAACGAGCAGGTAAAGACAAGCCCGTGCCACCACACTACACTCTGACGCCAGATTCCGAAAGATCGTTTCGTCGCTGTGTCTCTCTCGCACTTCTACGGGACGCCTCATGAGTGCGAGAGAGATAGGGTGACGAACAAGATCCTTCGGAACCATGCCCCTGGTGTGACACTGCCGTGCCTTTCAAGGGCTGTGCCAACAGCAGCCCTTCCTAACGAGCTCCTCGCGCGGCCCCTGTAGATTGATTGCGTGAGTCGTTTTCGTCGCTCTGTCTCTGTTGCACCTCTACGGGCCGCCCCGTGAGTGCGAGAGAGACAGAGCGACGAAAACGACTCGCGGAATCAATCCGCCCTGGGGATGCCCCGCGCCCTGCCGGCAGAAGACGATGCGTACGCTGGCGTGCCTGACGTGCTTGGCGTGCCTCAGCGCGCTGGCGCGGCCGGGCGAAGTCGGCCTCAAGGACTTGGCCTCCTCCAAGGAGTCCGAAGAGCAGAGCAGCGAGAGGGCCGATCGTTTCATGGCGTTCACCGCGTTCGACGATCCCATCGAGGACGAGTACGCGGCGCCCGAGGCCAGCGCCAAGGAGTGTGCTCCGTGGCGGGGGCAGGCCGAGGCGGAGGCCGCGGCCGCGGCGGACGACGCCGACCTGCGGCGCAAGGGCCTCATGGCGGCCTGCGCCCGCGGCGCGGAGCTCGGGGCACGCGGGCCGCCGATGTGGGGTGGGCAGGTACGGAAGCAGAGTCAGCGTCGCTACACTCTGACCAGAAAACCAAGACCTCTGAATTTTCGCGGCGGTTTCCCCCTGAATTATTTTCGGCAGGGGGAAAGGACCATCCATAAGGGCAGTGGTGGATCCTGACCCCGTGAGCGAGTAGACGGGCGGTTTTTCGCTTAATCACAGAAAAAAGTACCCCCCCATGGTAACCAACACCTAAATGCTCGCCTCGCAGAATGCTCGCCTGCCACGGGGCCGCAGCTTGTCCTAATGGACCCTCTTTTCCTGATTCCAGTTAGAGTTTTTGGCGAAACGCGTCAACGCGTGGATGAAATGGAGCGTGTGGAGCAGGCTCTGCGTGGTGTGCGCCTCGAACACGAGCATTTCACAGTGCGTCTTGTCTCTTGACGAAGTGTCTAAACACCCGAAACGTTCGCCCCCTTTCAAGCGTGCGTCTCTATCCTGGACTTCCGCAGATGCGGCATGATCATGGATAGATGGGTGCAGAAGCTCTCTGCCCCGTACGTCCTCATCCTCATGGCCGTCCCCACATCGCCGCCGCAGAACCTCACAAAAGAGGATGCAGATGCTCTTTTCCGCAGCACCATTTTCATCCACGTTGTAAGTATATGGTCCGCTAGACGACGCGTTTGGGCCGCGCAAGCCCTGCGCCCCGCAGCCTCCACTAACCGCCGTCGTCCGTCGTCGACTTGCGCCAGGAGTCCAAGAGCTCTGGGTGCAACTTCATGATCCTGGTGCTGCCCACCGTCCAACTCGCGTTCGACCTCTCCGTGCACGAGCCCCTCATTTGGTCCCCGCTGGCGAGGTACGTCAACCCAAGACACGGGTAATCGCCCGCGCCCGCGCGGGTTGAACCGGGTCCACGGGTTTACCGGCAGAGCGCGCGGTCCAGCCATTAATCGCAATCGCCCAAAAGGCAGGCAACACGACCCACTCGGGCGCACTGCCTGTTGCCTGCTGGACCCAAAAGCGCCGGGTATACCCGAAGAACCGGGCAGGAACCGGGTCGCAGGGTCCACAGGTGCCCGGGTTCCCGATTCTAAACCGCGGACCCCGGTACCCGTGGTCCGGGTTTTTGAGAGCTCTATCGTTGACTTTTTCGATCACTTTTCCATTATCTTTCGGCCGGAAATGGACCATCCCTCCAGCCAGGTGGTCCTGCTCCTAGACTCCGCCCCGTGGCCGGCCGGCGAGCCGCTGCCGCCCCAGGACCGGCGCCAGTGGAACACGTCCGACGCCAGGGGTGGGTGTTCGCTGCCGCCGCCGCCTCCGATCTCCAACAAGCCCGCCGCGCTGCAGACAAAGTCCGTGAGTCGTTTTCGTCGCTCTGTCTCTCTCGCACCTACACAGGACGCTCCACGGAGTGCGAGAGAGACAGAGCGACGAAGAAGACTCTCGGAACGAGCCGGGTCGGCTGGTGGCAGGGCACGGCGACGGCGGCAGCCGCCACGATCACGTCGAACTGTTCCGCGGGCTGTGGGAGTACCGGCGCGTTCAGCGCCTCGTGCTGTACCAGACCACGCGGCCGGGCCGCTTCTTGGCAGTGGACCTGCCGCGGCGCCGCACCCGCAACATCTGCGCCCTGGACGACCAGGGCATCCTGGACGTGCTCTCCGCCAACATGACGGTACCGCACCGCGTTACGCAGACCGCCCCGCCCACCAGCACACTCATTCCGAGAGTCGTTTTCGCCGTTCCGTCTCCCGCGCGCGGAAGGCAGGCGCGCCGCCAGAGTTTTTCTAATGGGAGGGTGAGGTAGTGCTCTTTGCCTGTTTACAGGGGGAAAACGTGCATTCTGTCTACCTCCCAGGCGGTCCATCTAGTACCGAAGGGAGGGGTGATTACTCCCATCACCCCTGCCCTGGAGTCGCGCCCGACCAGAGTTAAGTTAGGGGAGAAAAGTACATCCTTATGGAGCTGATATCTTGACTTTGAGCCATCCCTCGACCAGTAATTTCCACTAAAAATGAAAATCTGAGTATGAAATACTACCAGTCAAATGGATGTCGAGATGTCTTTAGTAGGCCAAACGTACTTTTCTTACCCTGTGTAGTACTTTTCTTCCCCAACTTTACCCCTAAACGGAACGTCCCGTGAGTGCAAGCGACAGAGCGACGAAAACGCCTCTCGGAATCAGTCTGCAGGCCCCGCGGACGGAAAAGAAGTCGCTCAGTCAAACCGCTCCTCTGCGACAGAACATGCGCGGGCTGTCCGTGCGAGTCACCATGTTCCCGCGGCGCCCCACCGCGGTCGCGGTCCGCAAGGGCACCGACGCCTCGACTTCGACCAGGGGGTAAGGCCCAGCACTGCCCGGCAGGCTGACTCCGAGAGTGGTTTTCGTCGTTCTGCCTCTCTCGCACTCATGGCGCGGGGCGTCCCGCGTAGGCGCAAAGAGACAGAGCGACGAAAACGACTCTCGGAATCAGTCCGGCAGCGACAGCAAATGCCAGTCGCAGGTGTGTCTGATTTTCGTCTTCTGCTGCCAGGATCTTTAGCGACCCCAGCATCACGCGGCGCATCGGCTACCTCGGCATGGACGCCTGGCTGCTGGCCATCTTCGCGGAGACGCTCAACTTCACGCCGGAGGTGAAGGGCACGCTGGACGGCCGACGGTTCGGCTACAACGTCAACGGTACCTACACCGGCTCGCTGCGCGAGCTGGTGACCGGCAGCTCGGACATCGCCTTCAACCAGCACTTCATCCTGGACTACAACTCGAACGAGGTGCTGCCGTCGGTGGCCGTGGACTTCGACGCGCTGTGCGTCGTGGTGCCGCTGGTGGTGACGGGCCACACGCTGGTGGAGCTGCTGAGCAGCGTCAGCACTAGCGTGCTGCTGGTGTTCGCCGTCACGGCCTCCACGCTCATCGGCATCTTCTGGCTCATCAGCCTGAACGCGCCGCGGCGGCCCGACCTCAACGACTCGTTCTTCTTCATGTTCGCGGTGCTGTGCGGCGCCCCGGTCGTGCCCATGCCCCGCATCTGCTCGCAGCGCATGCTCATCGGCTTCTGCGCACTCTACAGTGTCGTCGCCACCAACTCGTTCCAGAGCCTGGCGTCCACCAACATGGCCGCCGGCCGCGGCGCCTCCAAGATCAGCACCCTGGAGGAGCTGGACAAGTCCGGGCTGATCATCTTCACGGGGTCGGACTCGCTGCGCATCACCACCTTCCAGGGCGACAACCCGCTGCTGCAGCGCCTGCTGCTCAAGGTGTTCACGCCCAAGACCGCGGACGAGTACAACAAGGTGCGCTACAGTCTGCAGACTGATTCCGAGAGTCGTTTTCGTCGCTCTGTCTCTCTCAGGCACGTTTTAAGGAGCCCCCGACAGGGGAGGCGAATGTGTATATTTTGCCTGCCTACATGGGCATGTGGTGCTGGTTGCCTAATCAGGCGTTTAGGGATTCTCAAGGAGAGGCGATCGCACTCATGCAGTGGCTTGCGCAGGGGGGAGCTCAGAAGGGTCATACCCCCCCCCCCCGCACTAGACAGCCGCCTGTGAGGTAGGCAAATTGTGATACATTCTGCCGGTAGGGGAAAAGCGTGGCGCTTGACCCCTCTCTTTCAAAATTTCTGCGCACGCCACTGCACTCATGGGGCGTCCCGCAAGGGTGCGAGAGAGACAGAGAGACAGGCAGTGCTCGGAATCAGCCTGCCGGCTGCGCCGCTGCGCGAGAGAGTGCGAAGAAACGGCAGGATTGGAACCATGGCCACGAAACGCAGATGACCAGGGACCACCAAGTGGCCTGGATGAACCGACGCAACTCGGCCAGGCCCTCGGACACGTGGTACGTGATCCCCGAGTGCCCCAGGGACTACTTCCTGGCCTACCTCGTGCCGTACTCGTCGCCCTTCCTCGACCCGCTCAACAAGGTGCTGTACCGCCTGCAGTCCAGCGGCGTGCTCAGCTTCCTGCGCACCATCTCCTACGACATCCTGATGAAGCGCGAGGCCTCGGCCAGCTCCAAGGCCGAACTGACGGTGGGTGGCCAGCAGACTGATTCCCAGAGTCGTTTTCGTCGGCGTGTCTCTCTCACACCCCTGGGGGCCGCCCAATGAGTGCGAGAGAGACAGAGCGACGAAAACGTCTCTCGGAATCAGTCTTACTGCCTGCGAGTGACTCCTCGTCCCCCGAGATGACGCGACACCGCTTGGCGCTGCTTGCAGATCCCCTTGCAGAGCCTGCGCGTGCCCTTCCTCATGTTCTGCACGGGGCAGCTGTCGGCCGTCGCCGCCGTCCTGGGCGAGATCGTTGTGCACCGCCTGGACAGGTACCTCCGCGGCCGTCCCCTGCGCCGCGAACCGCGCCGCCAACCTGCGCGACGTCGTGCCGGGCCTCGCGCTGGTCGTCCGAGTGGGAGAGGGAGAGGGCAGCCGCCGGCCGTCGTGCTGTACGTGGTGCGGGCGGCTCCGGAGACGCCGCCGCCGCCCTACCCCTTCGTGCACTAGCGCTGCCAGCACCGCGGCCAGCACCGCGGCCAGCACCGCGGCCAGCGCGCACTAGAGCGCGTCCTCCGCGTCGGCTCGACGACCACGGCGACGACCAGGGCGACGACCAGGGCGACGGCACGGCGACGACCACGGCGATGACCAGGGCGACGACCACGGCGACGACCACGGCGACGACCACGGCGACGACCACGGCGACGACCACGGCGACGGCCAGCTCCGCCACCAAATTGGCCCGCACACTACGTGGCCGTGGCCAGGCATGTAGGAAGCAGTGCCTGACTCCTGTCAACGCCGACGACGCGGCCCTCGGCCAATGCGGGGGCCACTTTGCGCGTCAGCGCGGACGCGTCCGCGGGCTGCAGCACGCGCCGAGACGACCACACACACGCACAGACAGACTCACACACTGGCGCACAGAGAATAAAGCCGACCGAAACGAGGAATCTAATCGAACGGCATTGGCAGGACTTCCCTCCCTTACACACTGACTATCGTAGACTATCGTAGTTCTGTCTCTCTCGCATCTATGCGGGACGCCCCATAAGATCGAGAGAGAAAGAGCGACGAAAACGCACTCCCAGAGTCAGTCTCCTGGAGACATTCAGCCAGCCTCGGCCGAAAACACGGACCGAATGGCCGCATCCGCGGCGCGAGCTGACTGATTCCGATAGCCGTCCCGTGTAGGAGCAAGAGAGACAGAGCGATGAAGACGACTCCTGGACGACTCTTGGGATCAGTCTGCCGCCAGCGAGCCACGCAAGGCGCCGCGGGTCAAGGAAGACGTCGTGCACGGCGTCTGACGGCGTCCGGGACCGCCTCGGACGCCCTTGCCGAGGACAGGCAAGGGCACGCGAAGGCAAGGCCGGCAAGGCCCTTGGATCCAGTTGGCGTGGCGGTACGCACGTGAAACGTGAAGGCCCCTACGGCGGGGCGGGGCGGGGCAGTCGGCCGGGTGAAGGTCGCGGCCGTGGTCATGCATCCTCCGGACAATGGCTCATTAATTGATCGGACACGCGTCCCGCACCGCACAGCTCGCCGCACCGCGCACCGCCCCTCCCCGCGCCGCCGTGCTCCGCCAAAGTGCCAGCCTGCACGCCCTGGCACGCCAAGTCTGCGGCGGCACCTCTGTGAAAGTAAGGTGACAACTCCTTTCGCACACCGCAGCACCGCGGCAGCGGTCTGGCCCGGGCCGGCCGATTTCCCTGAGACTCTGGGAGACAGGTTACAGTGTGTGGCGGCGGAGTGCGTCCGCGCGGCCCTTTGTCTCGGCGAGTGCGAGTAGAGAGTGGAGTGACTGGCAGCTGAATTCGGGCCTCGGAAGCCCCACGGCCTGCCCACTGCCCCACGGCCCGGCAGCGATCCGAACCGAACGCACGGCCTCGCAGCATCCGCCCCCTGCTCGCCGCACTCCGCCGTGGACTGACTCCGAGAGTCGCTCTGTCTCTCTCGCACATTTACGGGGCGCCCCATGAGTGCAAGAGAGACGGAGCGACGGCGAGGACTCTCGGAGTCGGTCTGCCGATGCCCACGCACGTGTGGAAGGGCCTAGAAGGGCACGCCGCCGTCGTCGCCGTCCTGGAACGTCGCCGCTACACTGTGCACACACGAAGACTCACCTGGCGCCGGGCCGGCAGGGCCTCCGCCCCCGGGGTGGCCGCCGAAGAGCAGGCTCCACTCGGACGGCGACAGGAGGTCCTTGAGGTTCTCCTCGGCCTGTGCGACAGAAACACCAATTAGTAAGGGCCAAAGTTTAAGGTTCAAGGTTTAAGGTTTGCGACTCAATGTACAAGGCTCTGAAAGGCTTACGCTTGAAGCAAGGTTTACAGTTCAAAGGTTCAAGGCTAGACTATTCGACTCTGTCTAGCGTGAGCCTCCCGCTGCTGTCACTTAAAGCGAGGTTGATGCGAGCACACAGGGGGACCATAATCCACGGAAATGCCGACCAAGAGGAAGAGGATTGTAGAAATGGCGTGGGCAGGGATCACATCATCGCGGGGCCTATCTGGTCGGCTAGGTGGGCTCTGATGGGCTCGCGACCTTGGCTGACCTTGGCACAGATTTGGCCGTCCGGATCCCTGTCTCGTGATAGCGCAGCGCAGTTGCATCAAATGCATCTGCCTCCATCTCAGTGTCTGTCTGTCTGTCCGTCTGTCTGTCTGTCTGTCTGTCTGTGCGTCTATGTGTCTGTGCGTCTGTGTGTCTGTGTGTCTGTGTGTCTGTGCGTCTGTGTGTCTGTGTGCCTGTGTGTCTGTGTCTATCTGTGTCTATCTGTCTGTCCGTCCGTCCGACTGGATCTCATCGTCCCGGTAGTGGCCATGCCGTCACGGTGCTGTCACGGTGGTGTCACGGTGACGTGCGGCTCCACGGAGCGGGAGGGTGGCTGCCACTGCTTCGCCTGCAGCAGCCTGATTCCGGACTGCGAGTTCGTCGCTCTGTCTCTCTCGCACTCTTGCGGCGTGTGGTAGGGGTGCGAGAGAGACAGGGACAAAACAGTGTGCGGAATCGCGCTGCTGCTCCGCCACCCCGCGGCGGTCCCGGCCACGCCCCCATTACCTCGGCGCTCGCGTATGCAAACGCCACGCACTCTCTCCCTCCGCGCTGCGACCTCTCCGCGCTGCGTCCTCTCCGCGCTGCGTCCTCTCCGCCCCGCCCGGTTCCTGCTTCCTCACCGCGGCGACTCAAGCCCAGAGTCGCGCTGTCACCGTCGCACTCGTGGGGCGTCCCGTAAGGGCGGGAGAGGGACAGAGCGACGCAGACGCTCCTGCTGGAGCTGCTGGGGCTGCCAGAGCGGCGCTGCCTTGGCGCCGCCCGGTCCGGGGCCCACGACCCTTTGTCTGCGCAGCACTGGCATGTGACAACGCCGACAACGCGCAGCGCGCAACCCGGGAAAGGAAGAATAAAACGCGTTCGCGACGCCGCCGCCGCGGCTCGAACCTCCGCCCGCACAGTGGGCCAGGCGACCAGTGGCGGCGGCCAAAATTCTAAACGCGTTTTGAGCTCCAGAGAGACTGAACAGGACTCAAACTGAACGTGTGACCCCACCAATGGATTCCTCGTTCGGAGAGCAATCCGTTGGAGGGGTCACACGTTCGATTCGAGTCCCATTCAGCGACTCTGGAGCTCAAAACGCGCCCAGAGCTTTGGCCGCCTCCACCGGTCTTCTGGCCCACTTTGGGCCGGCCCGGGCATGGGGAAGGCGCTTGTCTTCGGTGTCGGGAACGCGGCGGCGCCGTTTGGCCGCGTTTGCGCGCACCGGACGCCCCTTGATTTCATCGCGCCGCTGGAGCCGCTCCGCCCCGCCACCATGCCGCCACCATGCCGCCACGGCCCGGCTGCCCGGACTGGACAATATCCGGCGTGCGTCGCCTCGGCCGGTCGGCCGGTCTTGGCCAAGCACCTGCAGCCCGTGCAGCCTGCGCAGCCTGCAGCCCAGACACTCGAAAATGACTCCAGTGCCCTACCGCCCTACTGCCGCTCCCCGCCGCCGCCAGCGGGCTGGGCTGATTCCGAGAGTCGTTTTCGTCGCTCTGTCTCTGTCGCACTCATGCGGCGTCCGCTGTAGGTGCGAGAGAGAAAGAGCGACGACCCGCAGGAAGGCCGTGATTGAGCCGACCCGCTGCCGGCCGGCCGGGTTGACCCATTACCCCGACTCCGGGGCTGCGAACGGCGGTTTGTCGCGCGTGGCACTGCCAGGGCACTGCCAGGGCATTGCGTGCCGTCGCTCCGTCTCTCTCGCGCCCTTGCGGCCTCGCGGGACCGCGCGCGGGACGCCCCGTGAGTGCGACGGAGACGGAGCGACTACGCCGGTGCGACACTGTCTGGCATCAGACTCCGGCGGCAGGGCCGGGGCCGGCCTTCCAGGCCTTCCAGGTCGCGCCGCGTCGCATTCCGATTCAGATTCCGAAAGGAAACTCGTAACGAAAGTGAAAATTACGTCGGAACAATGGTTGACCGCGTCGCGCCGCCGTCGCGGCAGAGCGGGGCGGGGCGGGGCGGGGCGGGGGGGCGGGGCGGGGCGGGGCGGGGCGGGGCGGGGCGGGGCGTTGCAGCGGGCGAGGGCGACAAAGCCAGCAGACAATGTTGCGCCCACCGCGGTGCACAGTGCAGTGCCATGGCGGTGCACCTCATTGGCTTGGCGGGGCGGGGCGACGGGGCGCACGACGCGCCGCGGGGATCGCACACGATCACTCGCCCCGATGCCTCCACGCCCCGATGTAGGGCACGACGATTAATTAAGAGCCATTCAGTCGTAGCGGGACTCGCTGGCCTGGCCCCCCTGCCGGGGCTGTCGGCCTGTCTCTCTCGCACCCACACCGGACGCCCAGTGAGTGCGAGAGAGACAGACTTGCAGTCTGTGCGGTGTGTGCGTTGGGCTGCGCTGCAAACTGATTTCGTGAGTCGTTTTCGCACTCGCACTGGACGCCCCACAAGTGCGAGAGAGACAGAGCGGCGAAAACGACTCGCGGAATCAGTGTGCTGTCACTGTAATGCAATGAGCAGTCAAGCAGTCACAGCCAGCGCAGCCGAGCCAAGCCAGCCAGGAAATGCGTTTCGGTCTTCGGTGCTCGCGATAAGAGTTAAGCCCCTCCAAGACGAAGGCGTCAGCGCGTCAGCCGCCATCAGCTGTTCAAATCCGGCGCGTCGCAGCTCCTTCCCACCGCCTCTCTCTCTCTCTCTCTCTCTCTCTCTCTCTCTCTCTCTCTCTCTCTCTCTCTCTCTCTCTCTCTCTCTCTCTCTCTCGCTCCGCCATTGTCCCGGGCCAACAACAAAGACGGTTCATCTCCTCCGCTCGCACTGCCCCTCTGCGCACTTTGGTTGCACAAGACACTTTGTCGCGCTCATCGGGGCCATCCCCTCATAAGTGGCTCCGTAATTGCAATTTGACACCCGCCGAGAGGTTGCACAGCCGCGGGCAACCAGCGAATGCGGCTGCGGGCTGATTCAGGACTCTCTGTCTCTCTCGCACCCCTACGGGACGCCCTATGCGAGCGAGAGAGACAGAGCGACAGTGTTCGACGTCATCAGCCTACACTGCAGACTGATTCCGAGAGTCGTTTTCGTCGTTCTGTCTCTCTTGCACCCGAGGGGGACGCCCCATGAGTGCGAGAGAGACGGGGCGACGAAAACGACTCTCTGAATCAGTCTATGGCGTTGCGTCGTCGCGGCCAACGAGGTGCCTGCCGTGCCCGGCGTGTGGGCGGCACACAATGGCAGGGCCTAGATCGAGATCTCGATCCATTTTTACTCCTTCTGGTTTTCTACCGAGTCTACACTCTAAATACCTCACGGTAAAAGGCTGCATCAACATATTTGTGGTGGAGTTTTTTTTTTCAAACCAAACTACTAAAGAAATTCAACAAAGTATCTTTCAGGTACAATGAATTTTCGAAGGTACAAAGTCAGCTGCTCCTCTAGAGAATTTTCACCGCAATATGGAGAACCTTCGCTGCGACTTTTGGAGTGGAGCCGATGCATTATTTACTACGCTGCTAAATGTGGCTCGGTCGGACACACGGCACAGCCGCCTCGCCGCTGCGAGTATCTCCCTCTGTTTATCTTTCTTTCGTCCTGCTCCAGATTTGCATGAATTTTTCATGGCAGCGCGCGGAGTGGTGTGGAGGGCTGGCGCGGGCACTCTGAAAACCTTACAAGCTACTTAAGCCTTACCAAGTAAAGTAGCTGCATTCAGTATTTTGAGCATACGTATTACAAAGAAAATATTTGGGCTGTGGGCATTACGCACGGGGGAGGGGGGACCTCACCGTAAGAAGGAGGTTCTGCACACGAAAACTGAATCTATGTAGGCCGAAAATCGGGCTCATGTCAAGGGTGGATCCACAGACGGGTTCAGAAGGGGGCGGGGTATATAGAAAAGTTGCCCACTTTCAGGCGGCAAAGTGCCACTGCTTCGCCGCCTGGTTCGGTTTTACTCAACTCCATCCGCATATCTAACTGTCTCTTCTAACAGTAGGCTGGATTGTGCAGACTGATTCCTCACATCAGCGTTTCGTCGCTGTCTCTCTTGCACCTGCTGGGAACGCCTCACGAGTGCGAGAGAGACGGAGCGTCGACAGACAACGATGTGCGGGCCTCGGCGTCTTGGCGCCGCACTGCACCGCCCTGCACCGCCCGGTGCCTGCCGGACTGCCAGACCGAGAGGCTTTCGTCGCTCTGTCTCTGTCGCACTCGTGGGGCGTACCCTGAAGGTACACTGAAGGCGCGAGAGAAACAGAACGACGAAAACGTCTCTCGGAATCGGTCTGCTGCCAGACTGCCAGACGTCATGCGGGACTAAAATGAATTGGGTCGACGGGTCCGGCATGCCGCGGCCACGAGGTGGCAGTGGACCAGTCAGGACCAATGACCCTTCCTCGTCCACACGCACACTCTCTCACTCACAGGCACAACGCATGCATGAGATATATGACCGATAACGTCGTTTCCGGTCAACCCGAAAATGGAAAAACGTCAGGTGAACACGACAGGGCTCGGCGCGGCTGCTTTCAGCGAGTGTGAGACGGGTGCACACGAGGCGGCGGCTTTCAGCGAGTGGGAGTGAGACAGCTGAGGCCCGTCGCGGCGGTAACTGGGGCGCCTCCTTGGAGATAATCGCATCATTACGCCCTCGATGCATTTTTGCAGTCCTGTTATTTATTTATTTTTGCGGTGTATCGTTGCGGGGCCACGCATTTCTCGCGAACAATCGAGGGCACTTACTCTACGCTCAGCACGCCCCACCGCGGCACGCCCCGCCCCGCCCCGCCCCGCCCCGCCCCGCCTCGCACGCCGAGGGGCGTAGTGTGTGTCAAACGATCCAGGCAGTCCTTGACCCAGCCCCGGTCTCCCCGCATCTCGATAAACCGACTTGTTTCTCGGTTTATGAATCCGGCGATCCGGCGCACTGCGTAAATAGTGAGGCCGGCCGTAGCAGACTGATTCCGAGAGAGTCGCTTTCGTCGCTGTGTCTCTCTCGCACTCACGGGGCGTTCCGTATAGGTGCGAGAGAGACAGAGCGAACCTGGCCGCGCGCCCCTTGCAGCCTTGCAGCCTTGCGCAACGACACCAGTGTGCGCCGCCGGTCCATTTCGGTCACTCTGGACCGTTTAGGAGAGCGCCCGAGCCGC